TACATATAAGCTGAATATTTTTTTTAAAAAGATTTCTATTAAATTAAAAGACATAGTAGAATAGATTTATTGCATCTGTTTATGAAGCATCTGCATAAGCGTATTCACCAAGTAAAGCACACCAATGATACCCCCCCTTGTTTATGGGATACGTAACAGGACACTGAGTCATGATTTACTGCAGTTTATGTTCTATCAACGGGTAACTGATTAGAAAGTTGTAGTTACTTCTGTTTAAATATATAGCTATTGCTCTGTCCTCTGGCTCACTTTAAAAACTGGTGCTTCTGAAAGCTTAAGGTTCTATTTTTATTCTTCTTATTTGGCTCTGACTTGTGTGACTGTGTTCCTGCCCCTCATTCTCCTTGGCTTGGTCACACTGGACTGGTAGAGAATGAGAGAGAGAGAGAGAGAGAGAGAGAGAGAGAGAGAGTGTGTGTGTGTGTGTGTGTGTGTGTGTCTGGGATGGGTGGCAGGGTTGCTCAGATAATTTCTCTCTCAGGATTATCTTTGCTCTGAAAACCAGAATTTATAATCTCACAAAATCAGATTTTCCTTTTAGATATGTATTCTTAATTAAACACACAATCTCTTCCTAGTAAAACTTAAAAAACAAGGAAAATGATATCTGAACATGTTGGGTACTTAAAAATGTTTTTGTCCAGGCTTTAGCTCAATTTAGAATAAAATTATTAAGTGTTCTAGTTGTAATTACTCTAAATGCAATAAAAAATATTGTTTAAAACAGTGACTTTAACTCAGTTGTTTCTCCCCGAGAATGAGAGCTAAAGTAGATCAAAGTGAAATCAAATAATATATTTTTTAAAAAAAGCATTAATTTATATGAACCATTTAGAAGAAATCATTAGAAATATGTAAAAGCTTATTTCAAAAGAGATCATAACAGAAAAATAATTTGACTTCATTTCAATATAATAAAAGCTAAACTTTGTGAATTGCCTGAAACTGACACAGAGCTTTCCTTGAAAGCAGATATTATGTGGGTGGACATGTTGATAACCCTGTTTGGAGTGTGCTACCGTCTTATGAGGTTGCCTACCTATGAAGTTTAAGATTCCACATGCTAAACATGTCCAAATGACCTTTTATGTTCTATTTCGCCACTACACAATTTCATACTCATTCCATACAAAGAGAATGTCCAACTACGGTTGCATTTTTCTAGAGAATGACAAGATCTATGCCAATTAACTGTCTCTTTTCTAACATAGGGATAATTTGTCAACAACTACTATGTGCTATATTCTCAATTATTTTATCATTCAGCTGAATCATAGACTGCTAACAGCATTTCCATATTAAAGGGCATTGAGGCTGGGACTTTTAGGGGCTGAATAAGAGCCTGTGCTTGGGTATACCATGTTTTTAACTGACTCTATTTGGAGTCCTACCGTAATATTTTTCTTTTCTTCTCTGTGGAGTAAAGAGAACATTTTATGACCGCCAAGTGTGTACTATTCCCAGCAAAGAAAGTTCTTATTTGCCTTCTTCTTCCCAGGAAATTTTCTTTAAATTTTATCCTGAAACTTGGCTGGCCTCTTGGTCACTTGGCCCCCAAACACCAAGTCCTTGGTAATATCATCTGCCTGTTCTAATGAGAAAACCAAGGACGTACTTGTGTATTTAATACCCCTTAGTGATCAGTGAGAGCTGGTAGCACTTTTAGAGATGGTTTAATTTATAAAATCATTCACAGGCAAGGAACATGAGGGATAGAGATTTTAGTTGCCATAATCCTCAGAGCTCTTCTGTATCAGAGCTAGGATTAGAATTCAGGTCTTTAGCACTTCAAAATAGTAACGTTTAAGAGGAGTAATACAGAATAGCCCATATATTTAAAACAAGTGCTCATTTCCATTTCTGTTTGAATGCAAGATGATTAAAACAGGCTCAAATGCATGATATATTTTTATAAAATCAATGTTCCACTATTTTAATAAATATTATTAAAGCATTTCAATTAACCTGTAAAAAGATACAAGACAACCTCAACAAAAAGCCTATGTTTATCCAATTAAAAAAAGAGTTCTATGCCTCTAGGTTCCTCAGAGCAACATCAGAATAGGGGCTGAGTTTTATCTCATCTACTTTATCTCCAAATGGCAATTCTCGATTAGACATGTAAAGTCACATCCATCATTAAAAAATTAAAATGACAGTGAACCTTGGTTATAATTTGCTTATTTCCAATAATGTACTATACAGCCAATGTCATATAATTTAAATATCAATGATACTAATTTTTAATATATGTGTCAATGTTATTAAAATAGCCATATAAACTTCGTACTGTGTTTGGAGTCAAAAATATACTTTAATGCTTCTAACATGAACAACAAAGTTTCCTTGGTAATCTCTACTTACAGAAATGGCAGCAATAAACATTAATAATCGTCTAAAATTTAGATTAGTTACTTTCATTGCAAAACGTTTAAGTGATCACACCGTAACTCAAGTTTTTAGGTCACTTGAAACAGTATGCTCTGGGAACTCATTGGTAAACTTTCCAAAGGGCATTTAATGCTGGCATTGACTTGTTGGCTATTTATGCTCATTGGCGGGGCATACAACTCTGAGTATAATTGCAAGTGGTTTCTGATTTCCCGCCCCCCCCCTCCACCCTGCCAAAAGAAGCTCTTAATGCAGAGAATGTTGTCTCCATTCTGAATAAATCTTCGGCATATTTTCAAACAGAAAAGCACTTTAGTCATTATAATCTGCCTGACCTACTATGGCCCTAAGAAACTTTGTTGGCTAGCACTATGGGCTTAGAACATAGAATAGAACATACTCTTCCGGAAACTATTTTGCAGAGTTCTTGGTGGCATTGCTTAAATACCACACGTTGTCAAAACTGTCTGATTAAACATGTAATCCCCGAACCTAAATTCATTCTCAAACAGGACTCTACAGATTTCAGAATGATCCCTACCACTCTAACTTCTTTTACTGTTTCTACTATAGAAATCTGTCAATCTATCTCAATATTCCTATGACAGTGTTGAATTTTTCCATTTTGAATCTTATAAATTTGGAGCACAGATGTCACCAACATGAAGTTACTGCATACAAGGCTTGAAGTCTTTAGAAACCAAAGTATTCTCTAAAACAATGTTCCTCAAACTTTAATATGCATAAAAATGACCTGAGAATCTTGCTAAGACGTAGATTCTGATTCAGTAGGGCTGGGGTGAAATCTGAGATTCTTCATTTTCAACAAGCTCCTAGGTGATGCTGACGCTGCTAGTCTTCTATAGCAAGGCTCTAAAAGACACACCAGATAAAATCAAGCAGTTGACTTATGGCAACTTATTCTTTAAGATGTGTAGTTCTAAAGCATTTGTGAAAAATATTTTCCTCCTACCTTATACTAACTCTTCACTTAAAGAGAATCAGGTGTGAAGGGGAGGGGTTGCCAAGTGTGGACACACAATGGAGAAATGTTCCTCTTTTCTACCAATCTGAAACTTTGCAGGTTGGCTCAAAGAGGCTAAGTCTTAGAGGCTTACATGACCATGTCTGCATACTAAACTGGAGGAGTCGTTCCTGAAGCTATGCCAGGTTTATCAGCGTCAGCTCCGATGGAATGGTCATATGGAGACAGACGATGATGCCTGGGATGACTTTCTATTCCAAGTCTTTGTAAGATTTTCAGAAGACACCATTATGAATATAGATACAATTAGGTGCATTTATATGCAAGTTTGTAGATACATATGGATGTGTATGCATATGTACATTTATGTGTGTTTACTCCAGAACAGAAGAAAGGAAGAGGACACAATTTTTTTAAACCAACATCACAGAGAAGACTACTAACACATAATTATAACTGGGTTTGCATTTCCTTCAATGGTTTCCATCCTTGGTCCCATCTGTTATTTAATCATATTGTTATAGCTATTGCTTGACATCTTGTCTTTATCATCTCACCTATTTATTGCCTTAGACAATATTTCCTGTTTGTGGCTGTCATGGAATTCAATTTCAGTGAATTTCACCAGCTAAGTTCCATGAAACTAAAAAATGTTTAATATGACCATTGGGTTAAATTATCTATGCAGTATACAGTTAGTTACTTAGTGCCAGGCAAAACAAATTCTTTATTATTTCATACCTTCTAAACTTTTTCCCATTAAAATTAATGGTATGGTAAGAAAGTATAGGAGAAACGAATTCAACAGCTAGTTCTTTTTTCATGGTGAAAGACTACACCATAGTGAGAAACGATTATATTTGACTTTGGAAAACTGTTTTCATTTAATTTGATTACTGTCCTGTTATAAACAGATCACTATTCTGCAATGGGATGTTAAATAGGAGTATATTCCCTATCAAATATTAAATATCATGAAAATTTTCTCTCTCGAATTGGAGCAACTGCATTCCTTAAGAGCATTTATGAATCAATATTCATACAAGAATAAATATCCCCTATCTGCAAAAGGTGTATAAGAAAATCAGATTACAGTTATTACCTTTACAAGAATTTAATGTTAAATTACATTTTAAAGAATTCTCAGTGGAGCTAAGAATCAGGCAAGTAAATTCTACATTGTTTCCACGTACTTAGTAGACATAATATACATTTCATTATTTGCATGTATAAACCATTAGCAGTAAAAAAGAAATGAACACACAAAACATTTGTCCCTGCAGTAATCATACGTGCTGTATAACCTTGAAAAATGAACTAGAAAAATCCATTTTTAAGAAGGCACACTCAGTACTTTATATGGAAGATACAAATACAATAGCCAAGGGATTAAAAAAAACCCTGCTGCTTCTCAAGCATGATTTATGATATTGTTATTACATTTAAATAAAAGTAACCTCTAAGTTCTATTTAGAAATAACTCTCTGAATTGCTACCTAGGAGGAATTTAAATGGATTTATATTCGGAGCTGATATATTTGTATACAGATCTGAAGAGTATTTTCCCCTTGTTTATCAGTAATCTGGGAATCCTGTTTGGAAACACCGGTTTTTAATCATACATTTAAAAAACTGGAGAGTTGTGCTGAGTATTTTATCTTGTGGCATGCACATAAATATATGTCTGTATTATACCACTGTTAAAATAAGAAATGTCTATTTTAACTCTTGGTCATCAGTTCCTCATGGCACTGGTACCATTAACAAGAGGTGTTTTCCTAACCTGATTAATCATACATCACCTGGGAATTTTATATATTACCTAATTCATATGGATAAGAACTCATACTAAGAAATAGGTGTACACACACACACACACACACACACACACACACATACACAGCACCAAGATCCAAAACTCTTGAAAAGGTTTTTATTAATTCACAATGACATTAATGACATGTGACACACTGTGCTGCATGACTGCTACCAACAATTTCTCACATTTAAAGAAACCATATAGATTTTCCTAATTCTGAGGTTCTTTGTGAGATGGTGCCATCCCTTAACTTACTGAATTTTTACCTATGACGGGATAGAGTCAGAGCACAGAAGAATGGGATTCAACTGTCAAGAAAGCCAGCCCCATAACCTTAGACTGTGGTCATGACTCCCACATGTACACTCTGTTAAGCCTGAGTCATTCTTCATGGTTCACGATCCATTTTTAATTGTAATATAGTAAATCAATATTTGTGCAATTATATAATATGCTGCCATAGGTTTGAACTAAAACTATGACTGCTTTGCTTGCATATCCATTTATAAGTCCTGGATGGAGTTGTAACAGGGCTTCACTGTTTATATGATTAAATTTATAAATCATTTGATAAAATGTAAGTTTAATACTTGGCCTTTGAGGTACACCAGTTAGTTTTCTTTTAAGTGGTAACATATAACACCAATTACGTTTTAGACAAATGATATATATGACCAAAAATTACCTTCAAGAACATGGAAATGAAGAAAGTACTTATAGTTACCATCTAGAAAATACAAAATAATTAGTTTCATTGAAGTTTCCTGTTAGATGTAGGTACCAAAGTAGTCATTTGTTTTCCATCTTTTAATTAATTAATAGACCAATATATGACTTTATGAAACTGATTACTTTTGAAAGTATAATATAACGGCTGACATATTTTAGCTCTGATTTCTATCAAGAAGCCTTAGGAATATACTAGCAGCATGAGTCCATCCTTGCTGATAGGAAAAGCACTTATCCACGGGAGATACATTCATTCTTGTAGTGCAGCACAGTACCAACTGATAAATCATCCACTCTGGGATTTGAGGTCAGAGGCTAAAAGGACTCCTTTTGTTCTAATATTAATATGTTATTGTTGGGGAAAGCTCAGCTTTACAACACTGTAATTACAATGTCTTTCTAATTTTTCTCTTTCAGTGATAATGACAATGGCAGCCAATGATAAAGTTTATGTTCCACATCAAATATTCCCTTGCTCTGTTGAGCACTGTCTCCTTCAAATAATTTACCTCTCTCAAAACCCCCCAAAATAATGCAGGAAGCTGCAAGAAAAATAAAGTGTGAGATGTTGCAACTAGATTACAAGTATCCATGATGTCTGTAATCAATTGTTGGAAAGAGACAAATTCAGGTTGCCCACCTTTTGCCTTGGCCTCAAAAGATGCCTGATTCACCATGATTCTTTTATTGCTAACTCCCTGCCTTTCTCCTGGATACCATTGGTGCAGGCCGTCTGCTTTTGGTGAACTTGCTATATTTATTTATTAGTTCTAAGAGTTTTTGGAAGATTCTTTGGGATTTTATAGAGAGAAAACCATGCTTTCTGTAAACAAAAGCATTTTATTTCTTCTTTTCCAATCTGCAGAACTTTTGTTTCCTTTTCTTGTCTTATTCACTAGGTAGGACTTCCAGTACAATGTGGGCTGAGTGTGATGACAGAGGACATTCTCACCTTCTTCCCAGTCTTGGGGTGAAAGTGTCCGGTCTCTCACCATTAAGTATGATGTTAGTTATAGTTTTTTTGTAGATGCTCTTTATCAAGTTGAGGAAATTTCTTCTGTTACTAGTTTTCTGTGAGTTTTAAAAAAATTATCATGAACACATATTGAATTTTCTCAAATGTCATTCCTGAAGCAATTGATATAATCATATGATTTTTCTTCTCTTGCCTGTAGATGTGGTGGATTGATTGATTTTTGAATATTGGACCAGCCTGCATACCTGGAAAAAATTCCACTTGTTTGTGTAAGTTTATTTATTCACTGTTGGATTGGATTTGTTAGTACTGTGTTGAGAATTTTTGTGTCTACATTCATGAGTGATATTGGCCTATAGCTGTATTTTAATATCTTTATCTGGTTTTAGTACACTGTGGTATACTTAGGGGACAATGTTCACGTAGAAGATGAAGAGTTGCTGATTGACTGAAATATACCAAGATGATCCCCTAAATCAAGAAGAGAACTGAGGCCTTGCAGCACAACCTGGGAGTGCTTATTGGCAGCACTGGTTGCTGTCTATTAGTGAATGTCTCTGGGAATTTTTTTTTCCAGAGAAAGACGTGTATGGATTTTTCTAAAACATTTTGCATTGGTTTCCTCAGGCTGCTGTAACAAAGAACAGTCGGTCTTCAGTAGCTGCTGATGCAGAACCTGTGGATAAAGGAGGGTCCCACTGCACCATGCTGTTTTATGTAAGGGATTTGAGCACTGGTGGGTTTTGGTATCTGTGGGGGGAGGAGGTATCCTGGAACCAATCCCCCAGGGATACTGAAGGAGGACTATACCACAAACTGGATGGCTTAAAACAACAGAAATTTCTTCTTTCTCAGTTCTAAAGGCTAGAAGTCCAAAATGAAGGCATCAGTAGGACCAGGCTCTCTCTGAAGTCTCTAGGGAAGAATGCTTCGTTGCTCCTCTCACTTCTGGTGGTGGCCACCTCTGGTGTTGTACGGCTTGCAGCAGCTGCATTACACCAACCTGCTTCTGTCATCACTTGGCCTTTTCCCATGTGTCTCTTCTGTGTCTCCAGGTCTGTCATGGCCTTCTTACAAGAACACCAGTTGTGGATTTAGGGCTCACCCTGACACTTCAACCAGTACAGTCCTCTAATTGAATAACAAAAAAAGTCATGCAGACACATTTTATTGTGGCCTCTAACTTCCTCTCAGGGAGCCCCCCACATACGTTTCCTAGATGTGTGGGAAATTCATACTGCGAGGGAGGATAACAAAGCTGACTCAGTTTCCTCATCCCGATGTTTGGCTCTTTTTCCCCTCTGGTCCTATATTTCCCAACACTTAGTGGAACACAGCAGACAAATCTTTCAGGTTCCCACATACCCCATTTCCTCACAAGAATCTATCGGGGATTTTTGGTGGGGGAAATGTTCTTATTTAATCTGATAACCTAGACCAGGATGTGAGGAGAAATTCTATTACTCCTTTAAAAAGAATAAAAATGAATAAATGTGCATTTAGGAGGCATCTTCTAGAGCTGCGTTAACTTGAATCAAAGGTAGGCCTTTGAGGGTCGGCATGGCAATGGCTGCTAGAAAAGACACTTTGGAGCAGATGGGCATTTAGCCTTTCTGATCCTGCCAGGTACCTGGTTTCCTACTTTGCATTTCCAGCTGCCCTGCTTGCCAACAGCCTGTTTGTATGGAGGTTTGCATAATACTTATTACAAAGAAAGGCGGCTTTCTGGCATCATTAGAATAACAAGGGTTAGAGATTATTTGCCATGGATAAGCTTCCTTTGTATTTCATCTTGTGAATTTTTATCTTCAGAAGATTTTATTATATGATTTTTAATACTAATATAAGATAAAATGTCATTTTGTAGTTATTGGATCAATAAAGTTCTTGCAAAAGAACAGTTGCTGAATGACAAAGGGAAAAGTTTATTTCATTAGCCAGCTCTGGAGCTGTTATTTCACAAGTATTGTTATTAAGTGAGTTCTAAATGGGAAAAGAGACATAGCAGGGAGCCATCAGAATACAGATCGGAAACTTCAAATTATGTACCTATTATTGTTTTGGTTTAAAGAAAAGTCATCAATTTTTCCAGCAATGCCTATAGTTAAAATATGTTTTAATTTCACTAGGTTTTTATTACGTTAACTGAAAATATATGCACACAAACGTTCTTGTCTATACAATTCTTTCTGTTCCCTTGTCCTCTAAGGAGGATAGGGTGTTAATTTTACGGTGTAAAAAAGAGAATCCAAAGAATTGGATTTGCCAAGTCCTGGCTTAAACAAATGAAATTTCCATTGAACAGAAGGAAGAGCTATCTGGCCAAACAGACTCCAGAATCAAAGACTTGTTCATCTGGAGGGGTGTCATGCATCCAACTTTCACCCCCAATTTTGGGTGGTTCATGATGTTATATAAACTCTCACCCACATAAGGAATAATGGTGTGGGGATTCTTGAGGAAAAGCCAAATTAGCAGCTTTGTGTTTCCATTTTGAGGCTGAATTCATGCACAGCTGATAACATTCAAATCTCATCTCATGTGAAGAGAGAGGAGAAAATGAATTGTTGTTGCTTTGAGCAGGACACTGTTTCATTTCGTGAATGCAAATTTTTTGGCTGTTTGATGCAGCTCAAGATTCTGCTTATTATAAATGGAAAACAGTCTGTCATGCTTTGGCATTTGCATTGACATGCACAATATCAGAGTGTACTAGGAGGAGATATTTTGTTTCAGCTAACTTACTTCATGGACACGCTTAAAATACTGTACCTACAACAGGAATGTCAAAAGCTTCAGATGGCAATTTCTAGTAAGGCACGGTCATGAATAAAAATAAACAAAGTGGAACAAGATGCAATATTTTTTTCCTTCCTTCATTTGGAATTCAAATAATCTAATTTTTTGGATTTGGCTGTTTTTAGATGTATACTTATGAATGAAAAGCCGGTTTTAAATAAGATCTGTTCGCAACCAGATGACTGAGCCCCAGCTACAATAAAATATTGATAATTTGTGCAGTGTTCTAAAGAAGTACATAAATTCTGGTTTTGGCAGTTTGGACTTAGTCACTGAGAGGGGAGACACCCACTTCTCCACTCCACTGCCAGAGCCAGCCTATATCTTTCAGTTTAAAGTTTCAATTGGGGTGCAGCCCAGAGGCTCTGGAGGATTCTCACTTAAGTGCGGTAGGTTAGGTGAGGTTAGAACCTGATTCTGACTGGTTAATGTCCATAACAAGAAAGAATAGTCAGGTGACAAATAACATCTTTCTCTTTTGACATTTCCCCACCCATCTCTCCAAAGAAAAAGAAGAGACAAAGCAAGCTATGCTTATCTTTGCTTACCTCTGACAACAATTCAAGAAATACTGAGTGTGTGACTATGCCTTAAGTGCTGGGGGTATGATGACGAACAGGGCTGTCACAGATTCTGCTGATAAGGATCTCTCGCTCTAGCCAGGAGACAGATGCTCACATGTGCGATTCCCATGCAACTATTAAGGGACGTGACATGGTCAGCTCAGGTGCTGACAGGGCACATAGCAGGAACATCTACACTGGACTTGATGGGTCAGAAGGCTTCCTGGGAAGGTTGTGTCTCCAAAGGACCTGGAAGGATAAGCAGGAGTTAAGCCACATGAAGTTGGGTAGAATAGAGTAAGGGAGTTCTGGGAAGGAGGTCTGGAGAGAAGTAAGATCATGACAGGGTAAAACCTGAAGTTAAGTATCGCTTTATGGGGGGATTGGAAGGGATGGAACAGAGGCTGGGAATGGAAGCCTAGGTACTAAAGGACCTTGTGTGCTACCTGAAGAAATTTAAGGGTGAAGTGGTTAGGAGGTTCTTGCAATAATTTACTTTAAGCCTGTGTCTTAACTATAAGTGATGGTTAGCATTATTGAATGAAACAGCTAAATTTTCCTGCTTCTTTTTCCAAATACTTTAGATATTATAGAATATGCAAAGATTCAAATGTAAGGATTCCTATGGTAAGTTTCTCCTGGAATTGAATGTAAAAAAAACTTTACCATCAAATGTTTATACATCCTTTTATCAGAAAATAAAAACTGGAAAAAATAATTTTGCCTTATAGGAAGCTCAAAACACATTTTGTGTTGCATTCCTTCAAGGTATTGAGTATATATTCTTTAAAATTTCTTTTGGTCATTTTCATTTTCTTGTTGAAAAGTGTTTTGATATTGCTAACTGTCCAGAATTTACTCTAGAAGTAAACAGGTATAAATCATGTATATATCTCAAAATAGAAACATCATGTCCATTTCCTAAGTTCTTCATTTTTAACCAATACTTTTGGTTCATACTTTCATAGGGGGAATTTTTTATCAAGACAAAAATGTTAACAGAAAGGATAATCACACTGAAATTAAAGTATAACCAAAAGAATAACTGAATAGCTAATTATTCTTCACTGCTGTGGGGATTACTAGATAGTCAATAGCCCAGAAGAATATGTAGGTAGGTAAGTGGGTAGGTAGGTAAATGTATGGGTGGATGGATGGATAGATGATAGATAAACAGATAGACAGACACACAGCTATCCGAACTATAACGTGAATATCAGCATAATGTTTTATCCCAACATTTGAGCTCTAGGTGTGTATGTATACAAATATATGATATATATAAGGTATATACATAAGCTATATATATATCAGATATATGTATAAACCTTAAGCTTGATATAGAAATCAAATATATCAGGGACTTTATATGCCTTCTTTGGTCATCACCATGGATATATGTATATCCCATCCTGCTCCCCAAAGGATTAACATTTACTGGCATGCAACAGGTAAAGCAAACCAGTAATTCCCAGGCCCTAACAACCCCAAACCAAAAATTCAGCCAAGCTGGAGTTACTCAGTTTTCCTGGGTCTCTCTGATGTACCCATGTTATTAAACTTCTGTTTGATTTTCTCCTGTTAAAAAAAAACTCAACCAAGCTGACAAAAAGGGATGGGAGATCCCACTAAATTAACAAGAAAGAGATAGAGTGAGACAAGAATTTGTTACCTGGTCCTGCTGGCCCTCTTTGGACATAAGTAGGTTTTACTCTTTAGCTTCAAATGGGAATAGCAATTTGGCAAGATATGCACAATACTTGAAACTGGACAAAAAGGACAGGAGAATTAAGAGACTATGAATTCCCTGGGATGCTGTATATATAAGCTTTTAATAGGTTTCTGTCAAAATTTTTAAGAAAATTAAGAGATTAAGTTTTTTCATTAAATTGAATACACAGCACAAGAAAATATGTGCCAACTTTTTACTTAGCCACACATTTCACATCTTCAGTTAATATCCAGTAACTTTTTAATACCGACTTGAATATATTAAATTTAAATATTTTTATTATTTGTAGACAGGCTTTACAGCAACATAATTAATGCCTCCCCTTCATCAAAAATCTATAATGAATATTCTTTCAACTAAAGATTTTACCCTAACATGACAAGACTACATTTAAAATCTAAAAACAAATGCCTCTCTTATACATGTTTATTTTTTAAAGGCACTAAAATGATGATCCTCTTTTCTGAATAATATATTTCAGAAAGGCACAGAACATTCTTCAATATTACAGTGGTAATTATAAGAAAAGGATAGAATTTATCTTGTCATCCTATTATATACTTTTTCTCTCCCAAGATCTTACTAAATATATCCCCCTGAGTTTAATTTCAAGTCTTTGAAAAAGATATAGTCTTAAGAAATTAGAAAGGAATTTAAGCTCCAATTCAGAAAACATCATTTTCCTATATGGAAATAGTTGGAAATCACATACTAACACCATCCTTTAAGTTAATATTCAAAAGAAACAATATCTGAAAGAAAACAGTGGGCAGAAGGCAGTGTGATGACAAATTACAGTAAGCAATACAATTAATTACCCTTAGTCTTCATAGAGTATTTTCCATTTTCCAGATCTTTACAAGACATGAAATGAAAACCTTCAGTTGCCCAAGAGGTAGATGATGAACCCATTTGCCAAAGGGGAAACTGAGGCACTACTATGCCTTCCCACAGGCTGTAAAAATGGTCAGCAACAGAATCAAGATTAGAAGCAGGAGAAGCCGGTTGCAGCTGTATACACGTGGCTGCCCAAAACATGTCAACGGAAGGACAGGAATACTGTTGGTCCACCTCTGCGGCTATGCTCTATCTTGCTCTGTGACACACACAGCTGATGGAGGTTTCAAACTCCATTTAAGGCTAACAGCACATCTATTCTCCAATGTCAAACCCATGAGATGAACAGGAGGAATGATTATTTGCAGTGCCATCCTCGGACTCAGGAATGTAGGCTATGTTGAAATTACATAGAATGTATTTCAATAAATGAGATCAAGACATGAAAAGCAAAATTAAACGACATCTTATGCAATAATGAAAATTACAATTTTAGTTCAACATTTCTACTCTTATTCTACAAAGAGATGTTTATGCGTACAATTAAAAATAGATAATCAAACGGTTGGATTTGAAATAAAACACATCTGCATGCTGATGTGAGACTTGAACTGAATGCTCTTAAATTAGGAGGGAATAAACATAGTATAATTTGACTGTGTTTTATACTGAACACATCTCTTTTGAGAATACAAGATGTATCCTTATTCGCTGCTAATGATTTACTGAGCTCTTCAAATACATTAAAGCACTAAAGAAAATTTGATTATTTCACCGAGCAGTGGTATTCCAAAAAAGCAATACGGCCAGAATGGAGGTACACTGGGTACACTGGGTGGGGGATACTTGGTTGGGGATGCTTGGTGGGAGATGCAGGAAAATAAACAGCAGTATTGTTATCCTTTAGGCTCATAAGAATGACGCCCATTGGTGCCAACCGCGCAGTTACTGTGTGAGTAGCCAGTACATTAGGGACACGCTAACATAGATGACACTCAGCAGGATCCAGTTTATTCTTGTGATGGGTGGCCTGCGGTTACCTGTCACGTGGAGGATGATATTGGAAGAGAGAATGCCACTAGAGTTTTGGGCCCGAGCCACATAGAGGCCCGCATCTGCCTCGCATACCTTCGGAATGAACACCGAATGTCTTGTCTCCTTGTGTAAAACCTGCAAGTGCCCATCTGCAGACAATTTCTGGCCCTTCTTGTACCTGAAGCAGAGAGTCAGTTTTTAAAGTCAGGATCACTGTTTATTCACATCATTTCCAAGTTCTAATAAGCACTGCAATTCGGCCCATGACTACTGCAATATTCTCTAGCATTAGCAGGAACTCTGCAGCAACCACAAATTCCAGTGGGGCTGTTTATCCTTCAAGCAGAGGTTGTCAACTGGTAGCCATAGACGTGCTTGATGGGCTCAGACTGTGTTTTTTAAAAACTGAACTTTTGGACGTTTACCAATTAGAATATTGCATATGAAAATTCAGATATCCAACTCCTCTTAAAAAAAACTGGGCCACCTGGTCACACTGGGCCACCATTTGCTCATGGCAACAATTACCCCAAATGGGAAATGGCACCTTCTATTTGACCTGTGTCATTCTTTCAGCCACTGTGAAACAGCAGCTTGTGACTCCTTGAAATCTATGGGAGAAAGATTCATCTTCCCCATCAGACTCATCCCGCAAGATCCACAGGAGAATACCAATGCGCTGCTTTAGAGGAAGGTACTTACATAGCACTTCCTGGTGAGATGAGTTCATTTAATTTTTGTGAATTAATTTCATTAGAAGAAAATAATTTCTAATTATAAAAGGCATTTATTCAATTGGATTACTACTGTTAATGACACGTTTCTAAGAGTTTCCTACGAATATGAGCACTTAGCCGCGTCATTACACAAAGCAAATAATTTGTTTATTTTGTATACTCTAGGTTCTTGTTTATTTATTTATCCCCACGTTCTTCCACACAAGAAGTGGTGACAAACCTGAAGCATTTTCTATTCCCGTTGCCTAAGTGATAATTTTGCATTTTTCTGAGTGTCCTAAGAATCATTCCCTGATAGTTTGCCAGTTGTTAACTGAGCAAAATTGTTGTAAATTCGAGGGCAAGATATTTTTTCACAATACTGCAGCAGTTCTTCAACAGTAAATACTAATCAAGTCATTTTTTGTGTGGACCAAAACAAGAAACACTTCAGACAACATTTTTCTTTGGAGTGAACTAATATTTAATAATGAATTAAATGATGATATTAAATAATAAATTTACTGATATTTAAATTCCTAAATACAAAATTCCTGATCTGTAAAAAACATGCAATTGTAAAAACAAAATAAGATAAAAAGCGTAAACGGCTGCACTGTAACCCAAGTGCAATTTCTTTTAATAATCTGAGAAACGAACATTTTCTCATAAACTCTTTAGAGAGCTGATCCACACTTCAAGTACCATCAACAGGCACACACAATAATTGAAAGAGTTAATTTAATGTTTACTGAAATAGTATGATAAATAAATACTATTTTACTTAGTTTATAAGTATAAACTCATGCTCATGTATTTGTAACTTTGTCCTCAAATAAATATACTTAAGGTTGAAAACTTGAAAAATTTCTAAACGTTTAAAAGTAACCCACATATTAAGAAAGTTAGAACTGCTTTTATGATAACAGTGATATAAAACCTGTGTTCTGCCGTTTACTTTTATTAAAACAAATTGGCTAAAAATGGTGATGTGTCTAGAGTAAAACCACATTGTTCACAGCTCAGTTATTACATCACCTTTCAAAAATGGCTTTATTACCTATCACTAGAAGCAACTGTGAAAGAAATATTTTTATTACATCTTTCACACTGAAGAAATGTAAAAGAAGAAATCTTAGTGAGATAAACAAATATTACAAAAGTGGCATGTGTGACTCTGTTGGAAGAGGGAAAAGATGGAATTGGTAAATGAGAGAAAAGAGAAAAACCCAAATGCTTATGTTTTTTAATTGGATGTTAAACCAAGTAAATGTCATGCTTATGTAGGAATAAACAATAGGAAAGAAGTTCAAGCACAACTTTTAGAAATGCGGAATGTTAAACTGAAACCAAAAAATAGCACAACTAAGTTGCAGTGCTTTTGGAGTTGGTTAAATCATTATTTTATATGGTTACCTTTTCTTTAAGGGTATCAGCCATGCGGCTACAAAAATGAGAGTTGGGGGTTCGATGTGAGATTGAATCATGCAGTGTTGCAGTGACCTGGAATATTAATCAGCTACCCCTAAACCTTTACGTTAGTGCACACAGAATGATTTGCTCAGTGATTCAATTTGTTTCTGTTTATGGCTTGTCGTTATAGGCTACCCACCATGTCAGTGTAGGCTCTGGAAATCCTGTTACTTCAACTTCCAAAGTCACTGGAGAACCTTCCATGACAGTTACATTAGACAAGAGCCTGGAGAAATTAGGGGCCTGGCCAGCTAGGCTGACCACGCTGTTCTTTGCTGAGGTAACTTTAATCTCTTCTCTGGGAACCATTTGCCTCTGACAGGCCTGGCTGGGGCCTGGCTGAAACCCGAGGCCCGAGCATGCATCCTGGGAAGCATGCAGCCTATGTCGGGTTTTAGTGACGTTATTATCAGCATGCGTTTTCTCCGGTGTTTCTAGCAAACTTCCCTGAGCCTGGGGGTGCTGTTGCAAAGCTCGCGCATGCACTTCACTGCACATGCTCTCTGGAGGTTTAACACTGATTCTGTGGAAGTCAGTACTCTCTTCCAGAAATCTTCGGGATGTTAATGGGGGCTCAGCTTGGAACTGGGGGGAAGGCTTCTCAAAATGACTTGAAAATGTTTCTCTCCTATCATTGCAAGCATCAGCAAAAGCAGCAGGTGGCGGAAGGCCAGATTCCGGGGCCTCCCCTGGACCGCTGGTCCCTGTCTGCATCCCGTGGCCGCTTAGGTGCTGGCAGAGGGACGGGAGGGCACGCGCCTCCAGCTCCATGTCAGACAGAGCGAGGAGGGAACTGGGGCTTCCTGGGAGCGGAGGCAGGGAGACGTCATCGGGCGAGACACAGTCATATTCTTCTCCTGAAAGCACATCCACGGGCAGGAGCAGGCCTTGGACAGCACCCTCTGGGCCGGGGACCAGCTGCTTCACTTCCCGTGGAAGTTGACCCTCTCCTGCTCTATTGACCGCCAAGTCGTCCACTGGCTTGGCGTGCTCCTTCAAAATGGAAAAGTCAAAGTTTCCAGTTAGTGGTCGAGTTTTCTTTTTCCAGGTCTCAAAGTCAACCTCAGAGAGACAACTTGAGAAGACCTGCAGTAAGTGACAGCTGGGGCCCTGGCTCTGGCCTTACAGAACTTGAAACTGTCTGCTGAAGCTCAGCACAGCCCTGTCCCATGACTAAGGAATCGGTGTAAACCGACCTCCAGCCTCTGAGTGAGAAGTGACAGACCTTGCGACACAGAAGAGAGAAAGCCCTGGTTCTCATCTCTCATGATGCGGTCTCGACTGGATCCATGTCTTTCCAATCATGATCTGAGGAGTCTTCCTCTGCCAGCAAATTCTGGTTTGGTTTATTTATCTGTCTACACTTCACAGCATTCGTGGTTCCCAAATATCAGATGTTTCCTTTTAGGTGATCCTCAGACCCTCCTAGAATAACCCTCCTTTTTTCTCAGGAAATCCATTCTTTTATTATTATTATTATTATTGTGGTAAAATATACACAACCTAAAATTTACCATTTTAACCATTTTTTAAGTGTACAGTTCAGTGGCATTAAGGACATTCACGGTGTCGTGCAACCAACACCATTGTCCATCTCCAGAATCTTTTCATCTTTCCAAACTGAAACTCTGTGCCCATTAAAGACTAACTTCCCCTTCTCCCATCCCCCAGTCGCTTCTACTTTCTGTCTCTATGAATTTGACAACTGTAGGTATCTCATATAGAGAAAGCCAATTTTAATGACTGGTTTTATTTTCTAAAAGCCCCTTAGTTTTATTCTTACAATGAAAAATATCTATTGAGCACCTATTATATACTAGGTACTGTGCTAGGCATTGCAGAGATAAATGGTGAGTAAAAGTAAATATAATCCTTCCCTCTTGGAGATGACGGCCTAGCAGGGAGGTAGATATTAAGGGAACAATCCCATGTTGTGGACTTCCGCAGGAGAACACACCAACATACAGTAGAGGAACACTTGCCACTTGTCTTTCTGTCCCATGTGGAGCATAGGTCATTCTACGAGACTGAGAAAAACAGTGATCCATCTCACACTGTTCTAGTATTTCTCTCCACTCACTGACGTCCATCTCTGGTTTGAGAAGAGGTTCAAATAATCCTTCTGGCATAGACTCAAAAGAATATTGAAGCTGAAAGGGATCTCATTGATCCCAACCTACTTGTTTTATAACCACTTCATTCTTTGCCTTTCCTCAGCATTTTGGGCACATTTTTCCTTAATTAACAATTACTGGTTTTTGTCCTGTGGCTACTACTTGCACATGAGAAAGTTATGTCTTGCCTTGACTTTGAGTTCTTCATTTTAGCCCATAGTCCTGTTCTGGACATATACTTTACAGGTGATTTTTGAGAAATAAATGTGTTTTCAGGTTGAAGATTAGAAGTAAACCAAAACAATGTTCCTTCTACTATCCCACAGATATGACTTACCCTCAGAGAAAGCATAATCCCAGCTGAGAGAAAGTGGTTTCCTTCAGTCATTTAGAAAAAGTTTAAACCCTGGGTCTAAAGCCAGAAGTTCTTAAAAGTTTTTCTCATTAAAAAAATTACTAACGGGATAAAATATTTGCAAATGATGTGATCAACAAGGGCTCATACAACTCAACAACAACACAACAAAAATCTCCCAATCGAAAAATGGGCAGAAGATCTTAACAGGCATTTCTCCAAAGAAGACATACAGATGGCCAATAGGCACATGAAAAGATGCTCAACATTGCTAATTATTAGAGAAATGCAAATCAAAACTACAATGAGGTATCATCTCACACCAGTCAGCATGGCCATCATTAAAAAGTATACAAGTGGGCTTCCCTGGTGGTGCAGTAGTTGAGAGTCTGCCTGCCAATGCAGGGGACACGGGTTCGTGCCCCTGTCCGGGAAGATCCCACATGCCGTGGAGCGGCTGGGCCCGTGAGCCATGGTCGCTGAGCCTACGTGTCCGGAGCCTGTGCTCCGCAATGGGAGAGGCCACAACAGTGAGAGGCCCACGTACCGAAAAAAAAAAAAAAAAAAAAAGTATACAAGTAATAAATGCTTGTAGGAATGTAAGTTGGTGTAGCCACTATGGAGAACAGTATGGAGGTTCATCAGAAAACTAAAAATAGAATTACCATATCATCCAGCAATCCCACTCCTGGGCATATATCCAGACAAAACTCTAATTCAAAAAGGTGCATGCACCCCTATGTTCATTGCAGCACTATTTACAATAGCCAAGACACAGAAACAACCTAAATGTCCAGCGACAGATGAATGGATAAATAAGATGTGGTAATATATATACAATGGAATACTACTCAGCCATAAACAAGAATGAAATAGGGGCTTCCCTGGTGGCTCAGTGGTTAAGAATCCGCCTGCCAATGCAAGGGACACGGGTTCGAGCCCTGGTCCGGGAAGATCCCACATGCCGCGGAGCAACTAAGCCTGTGTGCCACAACTACTGAAGCCCACATGCCTAGAGCCCACGTGGCACAACAAGAGAAGCCTGCACACCTCAAAGAAGAATGGCCCCCACCCGCCGCAACTAGAGAAAGCCTGCGCAGAGCAACGAAGACCCAACACAGCCAAAAATAAATTAATTGAATAAAATTTTTAAAAAAAGAACGAAATAATGCCATTTGCAACAACATGGATGGACCTAGAGATTATCATACTAAGTAAGTCAGAAGGAGAAGGACAAATACCACATGATATCACTTATATGTGGAATTTAAAATATGGCGCAAATGAACTTATCTATGAAATGGAAACAGAATCACAGATATAGAGAACAGACTTATGGTTGCCAAGGGGGAGGGAGCTGGGGGGAGGGATGAAATGGGAGGTTGGGGTTAGCAGACGTAAGCTATTATACACAGAATGGATAAACAAGGTCCTACTGTATAGCACAGGAAACTATATTCAATATCCTATGATAAACCAGAATGGAGAAGAACCTAAAAAAAAAAGAATGTATATATATGTATAACTGAATCACTTTGCTGTATAGCAGAAATTAACACAACATTGTAAATCAAATATACTTCAATAAAAAATACTAAATAAACATATATTCCATAGGGAATGCCCCTCCTTCTTTTGGTTTTCCTACCACAGCTTAGTGCCTCTCCTTCCATCTCTCCCTGAATGTAGAATGTTTATTTTCCTTTTCTCAGGGACTTTGATCCTACAACCTCCTGTTCAGACTAAGGATCTCCTCTATGTCATTCTGACAGCCTCTGTTTGAACACTTTTTCTGAATGGGTGCTTTCTTTGAAAAGAAGTTTATGCTTTATTTGTGTTAAGAATAACTTCCTGTATTTATCACAGATCTGCCTTTCCTCAGTATCCACCAGTACATCAGAATTGGCCTCTTGGAATGACATAGAAGATGTCTGACTGCTCTCCTCTTTTAACAGCCCTTTGACTATTTAGAGAATTGGTCCTGCAACCTCCAGGTCTTATTCTGCCTTAATTCCTGGAACTTTCTTCATTCTGGTCACCTTCGGAGGTCCCACTTTAATGAGCTACAAACTCCTTCATGGGAGGGCAGGGACATTTGTTGATCTGAGGGTCATGCAGGGGCAGGCCACTCCTCAATGACTTCTATGGGTAACATAGGCCCCTCTGGAAAAGAATAATGTTGAAATTTTGCAACAGGCTTAGGAGAAATTTGGATAAAAGTCTGGGCTAGTCTCCCTACTCCTCACTCGCTCCTGGGGAGGAAGTGACTTACCTAATTGTGGGTTTGGAAGAAGAGACTGAGACTGCTCAGCTCTGTCTCTTTGAGTCCCTCTCTTTTGGATGTGCCTTCCATCAAGTGGGTGCATCCACACTGGCTCTAATGCATGAAAAACCTCTGTAAGGGAAGCCTGTGTTGTCTAGCTGTGCACCCAAGTGGCTGAGTAGACAAGTCTGTCTCAACCAGAGATGAAGTTTGGGGAAACCCACTAGAAAAGTCCAAGCCCTGTCCTCCAGTCCAGCTTTTACTGGTTACTGATTCCTGACTCCTGTGTCTCACTTTCAAATGGTGCTAAACTCAAGAAGGTAATCCAAGGATATTACGTTTTTTCACTCCCTATAATTCCTGAAGTAGAAAAATAGTTTCCACCAAAAATACACTACCAGATAACTTCCACTGACAATGAGAGAGTTTTCTCAAATCTTTTTCTAGAAACATTTCAACTTATGTTTATTTCCAGGATTTACTTACTTTTCAGGTGGAAAGTAATCAGTGGAATCATCTCCTTGATCTACATGATATGTTTTTATGAAAGTGACTTTATTAGTTCTTTGTTTTTATAAGAATCACACGGGACTATTGATTCACAATGTTTTTAATCAACTAAAATGTCCTATTTCCTCTGTCTATTAATACCACTGATAAAAGTGTTGAACACTGCAGAGTTTAGGACAAAGCCAACTGTCTCCCCAGGGCAAGGCAAACTGTCTTCCAGGTTGACACTGATGAACTATTTAACACGCTTGGGCACAATTATAACCTGACCAAACGCCCATTCAATTCACATTTCTCCACTTACCTTAAGAGACATATCGTGAGTGTGTTTATCAAATGACTTCCTGAAATCACAATAAATTTTGTCTATGGCACCAACCTAGAGTTTTCTATTAAATAATCATCTTAGAAAGCAAAATAAGGTGAATTTAACACAAGTTTTTCTGAGTAAATCCATGTTGGCTTTTGACACTTCTGTCTTTATTCTCAAATGCAAATAGGCGTTCCGTTTTTAAGTCACTATGGAATTTTACAAAAATCACTTTTAGAACTCACTGAACTATAGTTTCCTGGATATACTAATTTTCCTTTATGAAAATGGTTTCCAGACATTCACATATACCAACTATCTTTTATATTTCTCCACCATAAAGCCATTTTTTGCTATTAGGAGAAAAAAAGTGTGTGTGTGTGTGTGTGTTTCCAGAAAGGGGTAGATAAATCTGTGTATCTCAGCACAGACAGGGAATATTTGCATCAATCTGATGAGTTCTGGCAAAGTGTCTGGGAAACCGATTTAACTCACCAAAACATAGCTCATTCTCAATTTCTTTCTCGTATAGCCTTGGCTGCTCTTTGTCTTTGTTGATTCCTTTTTCTTTTCCCACCTTCTAAAAACATGAATGATGTGTAATCTTGTCTTTAAGTTTTCTAATCTTCTCTATATACTTTTCCACTCAAAGATCTCACCCTATGAGATCTAATGATCATTAACTTTTAATTAATATTATATCTAATGATCATTAACTTTTAATTAATCCTAAATCTATAGCTTTAGATCGTATCTCTGTCAGGATTTCTGAACTTTCATTTCCACTGATGGACATAATCACTTGACTCTACAATCATTGCCCTGTAGGCAAACAAAATGAGCATCTGGAAGAGAAAATATAATGATACTCTACATCCATTGAACTAAGTGTGTAGCACCAGTTCTCCAAGTCCGTAGGGTGGGGAGCCATGTTTGTGGTAAATTTAAGGGAATTCCACAAGGCTTTATCTTCTAAAATATCTCCACAATAGGTAATCTTATCTTGGTTTATGATTTAATGAAGGTAAGTGGGAAGTGGATAAAGAAAGATATTGAACATAGGGCTTGGTCTATGAAAGGCTTTTCTGGGGAAGGCTCTTGGAAGGGGATTTGGGCCGTCAAGGGGTGACTTGGTGCCCTTAAGCACTTGGGGAGGACAAGGTAAGAGAGAACAGAAAGGTGGTGAAGAACCTTTTGCCCTTCCCATTATTTTCCAAAGCAAATGTCTCAAGAACATCTTACTCCGCCTACCAGGTGATCAGGATTACTGGAAGAGGGCCCAGGGACTGTCCTCACCCACTTTGATAAGAGCACTCCACTGAATTGTTTGCTATGAAAGCACTTCCATGCTGCTACTTTATTAATCACTGTGTAATAGATGAATGGAAAGAGGGAAAAAATTTGGCATGGGAATCTACAGTATCATTACAAAACAGCTTATTTATACGCAGCAGTTTCTTGGAGCTCCCTTTTGGTCTTGTGGAAAAAGTTACATGGCTTAAATTCAGGAGAATTGGGCTGCCTGCCCAGTTCTGACACTACTTCCTGTGAATTTTGGAGGGCAAAATATTTAATCTCTTTGGGCCTCAGTTTCCTCAACTGTAAAATGAGATTTGATCAGATGATTGTTAAATCCCTTCTAGCACTAGAATTCTGTAACTCTAAATGCTGGTATCATAAGCCTTACATAGTTCTGTGATTTTAGGCAAGGCTTTTAATACTCTGTGCCTCTGTTTAACCTTAGGGGTTTTTAGATATTCCTGTGGATTCAGCTTCAGTGCTCACCTTAGGGAATAAAACACCATCACTAATCTGTTAGCAGTGCAATGGGCACTGCATTTACTGAATTGCTTAATTCTACCAACTGTATTTTTTGGGTCAGAAAAATGAGAAGCACTTTACTATCTCCAGGAAAAAATCCTGTGATGAACATTTTCTTATAATAGTTTGGTGGAATTGTTCTTTCTGACTCAAATAATTTTCTGAGGAAGAACAATACCATTTAAGGGTATTAAAATTGAATGCAGTGATTCCCACATGAGCTTTTCACTTGGTGCTTCTTGTTATCTGCCCACATGGTGTTTCATGAACTTGTTACAGCTGACCTATAATATAAATGATAGAGACAGTAAGAGGGTAAACGTGGTTGAGCTGTTTAAAAGTGAAGATTACTGCTGCCCTTTCATTTTGCCAATTGCACGAGAACATATACATGAAATGAGGTCAATGAGAGATCATGGTGTAATTATGGATTTTCACTTTTATCCTAAATATCTGATGATCTATCATGTCTTTTAATTTACGTTAAAGTAAAAGTGATTTCTCAATGAAAGAAAATCTTGCTTTTTTTATTTAAAGGAATCTGTTTCTTTAATTTTTTTCTAAGAAAAGTAAATAAAAACAAGAAAGCCATTTTTACTAAGTATAAATGAGTGTGTTTGCTTTGGCAGCAATCACTTTTGTTTCTAATCTTACTAAATGTGTGTGGTTGACAATGTAGAAAAGTGTGCAGAATTTAAAAAAAATAAATAATATGTTGTTGGATTTAGTATCTCTTATAACTTAGTTAAGAAAATGTGATGCATTTAATGTTATTCTTTATCATTTTGACTAGTTAGTCTCAGTCAAGGTTGATTTTGCTCCCCAGGGGCCATTTGATAGTTTCTACAGACATTTTTGGTTGTCACAACTGGGTGGAGAGCGGGTACTGCCGGCCAGGAGTGCTGCTAAACATCCTACAATGCACAGGACAGCACCCACAACAAAGGATTCTTTGGGCCAAAATGTCAGTAGTACCGAGGTTGAGTAATCCTGGTTTAGACAATCAGAGTAACCAAAGATCATTTGATATAAGGCTAAAGTCCAACAAGATGATCAAGGTGTGGCAGCTTTCCTTTGCCTCAGAGAGGAATCAGGGTTTAAATGCTACAAGCCCATCCCACGAAAAAAGTCAGCTTGCTTAATTAATGGTACTTGCTGCCTGGTGGTTGTATAATTGCACTAGACCTTGACATAGATTTAACCTGCAGAAAAGGACATATAAAGAAGCTTTTAAGTACTGCATTTAGTTTAAGAAAAGGTAAGTCTTTCTCCATGAGATGACTGCAACAAGTGGGGAGAATTTTTTTAAACTCTCATGTCACAAAGAGTATATTTTATTTTATTTGGGAGCAGTTGAGAAAAATGTCAATTCTGCTTGCTCTTTCAGTTCCTTGGGAGAGACACAATCATTGGGAGCAAACTTGGCAAAGCATAAAGTCAAGAGCTAATTATAGTCCAGCAGCTATGAATAGACAGTGAGCAACTTATACCGAAAATCCATCATGATGTGATTTAAATAATGCTTTTGAAATGCATATGCATTTTGTGAATATTTGCAGTTCTTGCTACATGCTTAATTTATCTGTAATGCATAGGCTTTAAAATAATTTAACATTTCTCTAAATACTTTAGTATTTATATTTCAGTTGCATTCTATGTTTTAGTACATATGAAATATCATCTTAGAGGTAGATTCTATGGCAACAAGATACAATCTATCAATAATTTCATGTATTAAGGTTTTCCAGGGGGTAGTGTAAAACAACAAAGTCATAACTTGGTGGTATGATAAAGAGGGAGAAGTAAAATTTGAAGTTGGGATTGAAAGGCAGCTAAAGATGGGAGAAACAAAAATAGTTTGGGGAGATGGTGTGGTGTTTGAATGGCTGTCCCAAAGCCACTGTGAAATGCTATGGCTCCAGTATTCAGTGGGAGGGACTCAGAGGGAAAGAGCACAGATGAGAGACGAAGGACTAAGTAAGGGATAGAAAAGAAGGGAAGAGGACACTCACATTTCATTTACACAGGAAGATTCAGATCGATAATAAGGCTTAAATTCATTTTTTTTCAATGCACAATGACTCTAACCTCAAAACAAAAGTAATGAATATCTGAGGGTACATAGTTTTCTTTACCTTATTCCTTCCTTTATTGAATATTGTCTGCTTATTTCTCCCTGGTTCTTTTAGTAGGTCAATGCAATCATCGTGGAAGCCTTCCAAATTCAGATTCATCTTTAAAACGTTTCCCTGATGTACAAAGTGAAGGTTAGTGAGAGCCTGGGCCAGGAAAGTTGGGGGAACAGTGCCACACAATAACCACTTGGAAGAAAACATAGACCACTTGCAATCTTTCAGTAAATGTATTCCTCAAGAGACTGGCGTACTCCCACGATGTGATTTATAAAATTATCTCTTCAAGCTCACAGTTCCCTTCCTACCTCACTCCTTTGATAAAGTTGATTGCCAGTAAAAATAGGTTGTTCAAAGGCCCAGCTGGAAAAAAGTCATTGTTATAATAGGATGCACCTACAGGAACATTCTCTAGAGAGAAAAATCATTGTGCGTGGCAGTTTAAACCATCGCAAAAATCTAGGGGAGCAGCCATGAGGAGGAAATGACTGAAGATTCTGATGGAGAACAAAGTAGGAAATTCAGAGTATTTAGACAAGCAAAATGTTTGGGAGACTCATGAAAAGAGGAAGGTAATATAATTGAGTATGGTAAAGAAAAAAAACAATTGAGAACAAACGATGGTTTGTGGGTGGTGATATTTTGCTCCTACAGTTCATGGGGCTCTGTTTTAGTCATGGAAGTAGAGGGTGTTTGCTAACTGCTGAGGAGCCAGTGTAAGAGCTCTGAAGACTTTGTGAAGATGAAAGGAGCCACAGGTACACGAAATGACAGGACACCAGTTTAGGATGAGGTTATAGGGCAACAGAAGATACTCTATACCACCTGGAATACAGGCATTAGATGGGCCTTAAAGAACAGGCATGCTTCTCAAAGTGTACATGTTACACCAACTTGGAAGATTTGGGGAGACATTTACTGGGGAGATTCAGCTTTTACTCCCAACTCTAAAAATTAAACTGGTTTGTATTACTGGATAAATTACTCTGCTTTAGTACACACTTGATACCTAATTCCAAAGTGGAACGTAGATTGGTACAACCACTATGGAGAACAGTATAGAGGTTCCTTAAAAAACTAAAATTAGAACTATCATATGATCTAACAATCCCACTCCTGGGCATGTATCCAGAGAAAACTATAATTCAAAAAGATACATGCCCCCCAAATGTTCACTGCAGCACTATTTACAATAGCCAAGACATGGAAGCAACCTAAATGTCCATCGATGAATGACCGGATAAAGAAGATGTGGTACATATATACAATGGAATATTACTCAGCCACAAAAAAGAATGAAATAACACCATTTGCAACAACATGGATGGACCTAGAGATTATCACACTAAGAGAAGTAAGCCAGACAGAGAAAGACAAATATCATATGATATCACTTATATGTGGAATCTTAAAATGAACTTATTTATAAAATAGAAAGAGGCTCACAGGCATGGAAAACAAACGTATGGTTACCAAAGGGGAAAGGGGGGTGGGGGGAAGGATAAATTCAGAAGTTGGGATTAACATATACACACTACTATATATAAAGTAGATAACCAACAAGGACCTGCTGTATAGCACAGGGAACTATACTCAATATTTTGTAACAACATATAAGGGAAAAGAATCTGAAAAGGAATACACACACACACACATTCAGTTATATATATACAAATGAATCACTGTGTTGTACACCTGAAACTAACATGATATTGTAAATCAACTAAACTTCAATAAATAAAATAAAATAAAATAAACCAAATTGCCAGTTGTGGAAGGAGTACTAGATTTTGAATTACAACTAAGTTCATATTGCAGACCCACCACTACTGAGTGTGGGTCCCCAAGCAAAGCACTTTTACCCTCTCTGAACTTCACTCTAAAACAAAGAAAACAACATCTACCTTATTACCATTACAAGGTTATTTGGAAATCACTGAGGTAATATTTATGAAAATCCTTTGTAAATCTCAAAATGCTAAACAAATAGAAAGGATTATTATCACTGTCTCAGCCTTGACAGGGATTTCTGGGTCTGCTTTTTAATGACCCCCTGCAAAAGAGAGCCACAGAATCAACCTTAAAAACATAAAAACCATACATGTATGCTCTCATAGAAACATCTGTAAAGTGTTAGCAAGCATCATTTGACAGGCCTTTTGTTTAGGCCGTAACTTGTAAGGGCAATGTTTTTTTGTTTTGTTTTTTAATTAAAAAAATTTTTTTAACATCTTTATTGGAGTATAATTGCTTTACAATGGTGTGTTAGTTTCTGCTTTATAACAAAGTGAATCAGCTATACATATACATATATCCCCATATCTCTGATGCCCATTTCTCTTGCCAAAGAGGCCATTCCTCATTTTTATGTCCACCCAAACCAAACTTTTTTGGGCTATTGAATGATTTTTTTTTTTTCTGTACCAATCCTTTAAGCATTTACTACAAATGCCAAAACACTTTCGGGAGAACATATTTTCGGCAAAGCATAGTGTTAAATGTTGTGTGGGATGCTAAACTGAACGAGGTTTCCTTAGGTATAATCAAGGAGAGAGGCTGGGATGATCATGGTAGTTATATGTGATGATTATGGTAGGAAGGAACACAGGAGCTACAGCACAGTGATCCCCAAGCTTTTTGGTACCAGGGACCGGTTTCGTGGAAGACAATTTTTCCACGGACTGGGGGGTGGGGGATGGTTTTGGGATGATTCAAGCGCATTACATTTATTGTGTACTTTATTTCTATTTATTATTACATTGTAATATTTAATGAAATAATTATACAACTCATCATAATGCAGAATCAGTGGGAGCCCTGAGCTTGTTTTCACTTGCCGCTCACTGATTGGGTTTTGATATGAGTCTGCAAACAATTGATTTATTAGGTCTCTGTGCAGTCAAACCTCTCTGCTAATGATAATCTGTATTTGCAGCTACTCCCCAGCGCTAGCATCACTGCCTCAGCTCCACCTCAGATCATCAGGCATTAGATTCTCATAAGAAGCGCACAACCTAGATCCCTCGCATGCGCAGTTCACAGTAGGATTTGCGCTCCTATGAGAATCTCATGCCACTGATCTGACAGGAGGCGGAGCTCAGGCGGTAATGCAAGCGACAGGAAGTGGCTGTAACTACAGGTGAAGCTTCGCTCGCTCGCCCGCACTCGCTCCTGCTGTGTGGCCCGGTTCCCCTGCGAAGTGACACAGCTAAGGAAGTAATTGTGGAGGAGGCACTATTTGGGTCTGGCTTTGAGAGATGAACAATTTAGGTCAGAGAGGTAGAAGGCCATGCACATGAGGTACAGTGGCCCGCCCTTACCCATGGAGAATATGTTCCAAGACCCCCAGTGGATGCCCGAAACCACAGATAGTACCAAACGTTATATATATGTACTATGTTTTTTTCCTATACATACATACTTATGATAAAGTTTAATCTATAAATTAGATTAAGAGATTAATTAAAATAACTAATAATAAAATATGATAAGTATAGCAATATACTGTAATAAAAGTTACATGAATATGGTCTCTCAGAATTGAAAACTTACGAATTGTTTATTTTTGGAATTTTTCATCTAATATTTTCAGACTGAGGTTGTCTTCAGGTAATTGAAACTGAAGAAAGCAAAATTGTAGATAAGCGGGAACGACTGTAAAAGTTTAGAAGCAGGAGACCTGGGAATGTCGGGTAGGAGACCATGAGATAGGAACCTACAATGAATGTAGAAGCACAGTGGTTTGGAAAGACAATCGGCCCCAGAACATTGGAAGGCCCTGAGTCCGAACTTTATCCGGTAAACAAGGAAGAGTTTGTAGTGAAGTGTTCTGAATGTAAAAATGACACTAGCAGGCTCATCTAGCAGGATTGAATAATTAGGAGGCTCCTGACTAGCACAAAAGAGAATCCAAGTGATAGGTTAGGAATAAGAAAGAGAGGGTGCAATGTTGACTCCAGGGTGTAGAAGGAAGGGGGAAAGTGGAAGGGGGCAGAGGGAGTAGAAACAGCTTTCAGTAAGAATAGCCATGAAGGTGAAAAACTGGAAAGGGCTATCACTTTAAGAGAGTCGATTTTGTTTAGTGGAGCTCACTTGGAGATGTACAGCATAAATGGGAGGGATGCTGTAGATGACAGCAAAGAGTCAGAGGAAGCAGCCGTTTTCAGGCTGAGTATCAGAAATCAGAAGAAACACATCCTCAGGGGGTGGGGTGAAGGTGGGGAGGAAACGATTAATGCTGAAAAAGATAATACAAAATATATGGTGCATTCATACATTACTGGTGGCATTATAATTGTAAAACATCTATGAAAAGCAAAGAATTTTTGTGTAGATAATAATACAAAAGAAAGAAAAAAGCTTCATGTACAAAGATGCTCACTACAGTGTTACTGAAAATGGTAAAGAATTTGAAAAATCTAGATTCTCAACCAAAGGAAAAAGATAATTTGATTGGGTGCCCACTGAATTAAAAGCTTAGCAAACCACTGAGGGACTTCCCTCGTGGTGCAGTGGTTGGGAGTCTGCCTGCCAATGCAGGGAACACAGGTTCAAGCCCTGGTCCGGGAGGATCCCACGTGCTGCAGAGTAACTGGGCCCATGTGCCACAATTGCTGAGCCTGTGCTCTAGAGCCCACAAGCCACAACTACTGAGCCTATGCACCTGGAGCCCATGCTCCACAGCAAGAGAAGCCACTGCAATGAGAAGCCCGCGCACCAAAATGAAGAGTAGCCCCTGCTCGCCGCAACTAGAGAAAGCCCACGCGCAGCAACGAAGACCCAGCACAGCTATAAATAAATAAATAAATAGATAAATAGATAGATAAATGAATAAATAAGCAAGCTTAGCAAACCATTTTGAATGGAATGTCACTCAAATTTATGACATGGAAATTCATACAGAAAAAATAGTTGCTGAAGATAAATATAATTCTGCTCCAAGCTGCAAGAGCACCATTATGTCTCAATACCAACAGCAATCACAACAATAATCACAGGTGTCTTCACATTCAATCCTCAGGGCTATCCTGTTATTAGCTTCCTCTATTTCCTCCATTTTATAGATCAGGAAACCGAGACTCACGGCCATTAAGGAATTTACCGCAATTCATTCACAAATCCAATAATTTGGAGAGTTGGTATTCCTAGGGGGCTGTGTTTTATTCTAGAGCCTGTGCTCTTGATTACCTTGCCATTCTCTCTATCCTAAACAACTGGTTCTTTCAGCCAGTTCTGAAAACAGCACTAATGAAACCAGTTTTGACACAACATAGACAAAAACAATATATATATACATATATATGTATATATATACACACACAAACATATATATATACATACATTTCTCTCTTTTAACAAGATTTTACCTAGACATAGTCATAAACATATTTTCTCTCTATTTTTTTTACCATCAATTTATTTATTCCATGAAAGATGCCAATGATTAGTTTAATATTTCCATGAAGCTAAATGTTCAATGACCATAATACCTGAAGATTAGTTTTATTTTCTCCAGGGCCACAATTTGGAGGAGAAAAAATAACATGTTCATTATTTATGAGGGAAAACGTAAAACTACTTAATATAGACTTTGATTTTAATGGCACACATTTATCCTTTAGGATATGATCCATGAAAATATAAACAAGACACCTTAATAGTTTAGTCCTTATTCTCAGCAATATTTTTCTCTGCAGTGATGGAAAAGAAACAGAATTAATTATCAGAAACAACCATATAATTATGTTAGAAAGCTGTGAAACAAATGTGCACATTATGTCCCTTGAGAATTTCCGTTAGAACATCTTTGTACCAGAAGACACTTGATAAACACATTTTTATTTATATCACTTAAAAATACATATTCTGGTAAGAAGAAATTACCTTTTTTTCTTCAAGCTCTGTGAGAGAGCTACATAATTCAGTAACAGATTCAAGAACCTCTTTGTGTTTGGCCACTATTTTCTCAGCATATTTCTGCCCTTCTTCAAAACCTGGGGAGGAGAAGGGTTAAGTCTATTTTTAAAGCTCAAATCCTTAGCAGAAAAAAAAATCCCAGGCATTAATTGATCTCCCCAGTGTCCAGCATAAGGGCTGGTAAATAGTAAGTGCTTACTAAATACTTGCTGAACAGATAAATAAATAAAGGCATTACTGGAAAAACCAAGTATTCTAGAAAAATGGTTACATTTGCTGTGCCATGTCCCTCTTATATAACCTAAATAATGTTTCTATATTAATATTCTTAAAGCTCCATTCTAACCAGTTTTCTCCTTTTCAGAACATTCAGTGGTTCTTCACTACCTAGAAAAGTATACATTCAAGGCCCTCCATAATATGGTTTTAACCTGCCTCTCTCAAAGGTATGTCACCCTAATTCTCTCACATATTTAATCTCTGGACAAACTGAACCAGCAACTTTTCTCTCAAAACCCCCATAGCCACTGAGTATTCTTTTCTGTACTGGGAATGCCCTCACCATAACCCCATCTCTGCTTGACAAATCCTACCCACTCTCCAAGGTCTACCTGAAATGCCAACATCTTTGTAAAAATGTTCTTAATCTTTCCCAACTGGATTTTACCTCTTCCTATTGGGATAATGATACAAATATCTATCACGTAGTGAGTGCTTATTATTTGCCTGTGGCTAGGCATTTTATATGCATTAGCTAACATAATCCTTCTCTGGTAGGTTCTACTGCATTTTCCAAATGAGGAATGCAAGGCTCAACAGAGCCTTTTCAGGTGACCCAGACAATAATTGGAGGAGAAGGGATTTAAATTTGGACTACTGGACTCCACAGTTCAGGCCAAACTAGAATTATACATTGTTATGGGCTGAATTGTGTCCCTCTCAAAATTAATATGTTAAAGACTCAACCCCCAGTATCTCAGAATATAACCATATTTGGAGATGAGGTATTTAAAGAGTGATAAAGTTAAAAAGAGGCCATTAGGGTAGGGTCCCAATCCAACATGACTGGTGTCCTTATAAGAAGGAGAGACACCAGCAAACCAGGGGTGCTTGTGCACAGAGGGATGCCCATATGAAGAGGCAGCAAGAGAAGAGAAGCCTCAGTAGAAACCAACTCTGTGAGCACCTTAATCTTGGACCTCTAGCTTCCAGAACTGTGAGGAAATAAATTTTTGTTGTTGAAGCCACCCAGTCTGTGGTATTTTGTTATGGCAGCCCTAGAAAACTAATACACACATTTTATACCTTTCTCACTGCATTTACCATATTGTGATTTCTAGGTACAGACTGTGGATTCTTGAATGATGGAACTAGGTCTTATATGTCTTTATATCAAGCACAGCTCTGAGTACATAATAGGTACTCAAATTTTTTTTGAGATAAATTTATTTGCATTAAAATTCTGGGTTCAATAATGCTATAAGAATTGATATACTATTTCTAAATTATCTTACCTGATGCAAATTCTAAGAAATGCATAACTTCCATACTGAACAGATGAAGACTCATGCCATTCATTTATTCATTCAGTGATTCATTTATTCAGCAAATATTTGTTAAGCACTTAGTATATACCATAATGCAGTGAACTCCCTTTTCTCAAGGAGCTTACACTCTAGTAAGGAGAGCCAGACAACAGACAACCATACAATATGTCAGTTGGTGATAAGGCCTTGGAATACAAACAAAGCAGGATGTGGGATCTTGCATGATGGGAGGGTAACGTAACTTTTATGGTGTCATGTGAGTACTTCCCATGTGCTGAAGTTGAGTGGCACTGAAACATAGTGATTAAATATACTTCCCTTACCCTCAAGGAGCTTATGGTCAGTTGAGAAGACAGACAAATGGAAAGGTAATTATGCTACAGTGTGAAGAATACAATAACAGAGGAAAACATAAACCATCTTATAGAAGCAGAGTGCCTCCAGAATTTTTTAGTACACTTATACGGTAACTATAGTAGGAATGAAACATCACATTAGTTTTCTTTAATTTTTCAATCTATATTTTATTGTTCTTATGTTTCTACCCTTTTCTCTGGAAAATCATTAATAATTCATTCTTAGTAATTTGATGTTAGGGAGTACAGTATATATTGTTCCACAAAATTTTTATGCCTATCCATGGATAGTGCTTCCTGTAATAAGAGAAAATGTCCACCTGACAGCAGCTGTGGACAGCCAAATGAAGCACCTGTTGCTACCTTCCTTTGGGGCTAGATTTGCCCTGTCACTAGGAATTACTCTTGGCCTTGTAGTTAACAATGTCAGGGAATTCATGAAAGTTATTCCTTTGCACCCTCAAGGACTGTCAACCCCCAGGGGCCTTTTAAATGGGGGCTTCCCTCAGATAGAAAGACTTCTCAGACTGACAAAGTCATGGATAAGAGGAAAGCACAACCAGTGAGATGGTCGTTTGGGTTCTCCCATTTATTCCACAAGTGAGAGGAAGACAAGGGAAAATCTTCCAGCTCTTTCTCATATCCACAAACCATAACCCTCATAGAAGTGAGAGGGCTGTAGACCTCAGTCTTAGCTTTCTAGCTACTTTAAGTATAATATTATGGGAGTTTTGTATTTTTTTGAGAAATCACCCTAGTGGAAATTAGATTTTTTTGTCTACATAAGCTGAGTATTTTTCTGGTTTTATTACCCTGAAGATGAACAACAAGAATGGGGGAGAAAGCAGAATTTAGAAGGAGGGTTTACAAATGGTCATTAAAGATCCACAGGCTTCATCTCCTACAGCCAGGAGCTCCTTCCTCTATTCACTACAGTTCACTTTTGCTCTTATCTTTAAACTTTTCCTTGAATAGGTTGGGGTAGTGAGGACCCTGAGGGCTTGCCATGCTCTGCTTCCTGCTGGATTAGGTTCACTAGAGATGTGTTCAATAGTGAATCAGTGGATATCTTAAAAGAAACCTCACCATATAAGCGCTGAGCCAGGTCATTGATTTCCTGAATCCTTTCTTCTTGCTGAGGCACTGAGGGTGTGATAAACTTTTTGAACTGCTGAAGGAGAATCTCCACAGCTTCCTTGGTCTTGCACTCTGTGGAATATTTTCTAACTCTTACAACTGTGGCACTTGCGTCTTCATACCAAAAGTGACACTAAATTAAAATGGGACAAAGCATAGATTAAAGAGACACCATCCTTCCAAAGTTCTTCATTTTGATCACTGAAATATCAAATTTCAATTTCCTCAAACTTTATATTCACATTAGTGTGAACTCTTTAAGTCCTAAGAAGGAAAACATCACAACGTGATCATATACTTTTGCACTTGGAAATTAGAGTCAGGTAAGAAAGTAGAAGTACGGAAATCACTCTGATTTTCCTGCCTTCTTAGGTTTGCCTGAAGCATAATTCCTAAGAGGAACGTTGCAGACTGACAAGAACAGGCAGTCTAAAAAAGCATGTGGGAGGAGCTTCAAGATGGCGGAAGAGTAAGACGTGGAGATCACCTTACTCCCCAGAAATACATCAGAAATACATCTACATGTGGAACAACTCCTACAGAACACCTACTGAATGCTGGCAGAAGACCTCAGACCTCCCAAAAGGCAAGAAACACCCCACGTACCTGGGTACGGCAAAAGAAAAAAGAATAAACTGAGGCAAAAGAATAGGGACGGGACCTGCACCAGTGGGAGGGAGCTGTGAAGGAGGAAAAGTTTCCACACACTAGGAAGCCCCTTCACTGGCGGGGACGCGGGTGGCAGCGCGGGGCGGGAAGCTTCGGGGCCACGGAGGAGAGCGCAGCAACAGGGGTGCAGAGGGCAAAGCGGAGAGATACTCGCACAGAGGATCAGGGCCGACCGGCACTCACCAGCCCGCGAGACTTGTCTGCTCACCTGCCAGGGCAGTTGGGGGCTGGGAGCTGAGGCTCGGGCTTCGGAGGTCGGATCCAGGGAGAGGACTGGGGTTGGCAGCGTGAACACAGCCTGAAGGGGTTAGTGCGCCACGGAGGGCTGGGAGGGAGTCCGGGGAAAAGTCTGGACCTGCCGAAGAGGCAAGAGACATTTTCTTCCCTCTTTGTTTCCTGGTGCGCGAGGAAAGGGGATTAAGAATGCTGCTTAAAGGAGCTCCAGAGACGGGCGCGAGCCGCGGCTATCAGCGTGGACCCCAGAGACGGGCATGGGACGCTAGGGCTGTTGCTGCAGCCACCAAGAAGCCTGTGTGCAAGCACAGGTCACTATCCACACCACCCCTCTGGGAGCCTGTGCAGCCCGCCACTGCCAGGGTCCCGTGATACAGAGACAACTTCCCCGGGAGAACGCACGGCGCGCCTCAGGCTGGTGCAACGTCATAACCGGCCTCTGTTGCCGCAGGCTCGCCTGGCAGTCCGTATCCCTTCCTGCCCCTGGCCTGAGTGAACTAGAGCTCCCGAATCAGCGGCTCCTTTAACCCCGTCTTGTCTGAGTGAAGAACAGATGCCCTCAGGCAACCTACATGCAGAGGCGGGGCCAAATCCAAAGCTGAAACCCGGGAGCTGTGCAAACAAACAAGAGAAAGGGAAATTTCTCCCAGCAGCCTCAGGAGCAGCGGATTAAATCGCCACAATCAACTAGATGTACCCTGCGTCTGTGGAATACCTGAATAGACAACGAATCATCCCAAATTGAGGAGGTGGACTTTGGGAGCAACGATATATATATATATATTTTTTTTCCCTTTTTCTCTTTTTGTGAGTGTGTATGTGTATGCTTCTGTGTGTGATTTTGTCTGTATAGCTTTGCTTTTACCATTTGTCCTAGGGTTCTGTCTGTCCGTTTTTTTTGTTTTAGTATACTTTTTAGCACTTGTTATCAATGGTGGATTTGTTTCTTGGTTTGGTTGCTCTCTTCTTTCCTTCTTTTCTTTTTTTATTAGTTAAAAATTTTTTTTAAATAATTTTTTATTTTAATAACTTTTAAATTTTATTTTATCTTCTTCTTTTGTTCTTTCTTTTCTTTCTCCCTTTTATTCTGAGCCATGTGGATGACAGGCTCTTGGTGCTCCAGCCACGCATCAGGGCTGTGCCTCTAAGGTGGGAGAGCCAAGTTCAGGACACTGGTCCACAAGAGACCTCCCAGCTCCACGTAATATCAAACGGCGAAAATCTCCCAAGATCTCCATCTCAGCGCCAATACCCAGCTCCACTCAATGACCAGCAAGCTCCAGAACAGGATACCCTATGCCAAACAACTAGCAAGACAGGAACACAACCCCACGCATTAGCAGAGAGGCTGCCTAAAATCATAATAAGTCCACAGACACCACAAAACACACCACCAGATGTGGACCTGCTCACCAGAAAGACAAGATCCAGCCTCATCCACCAGAACACAGGCACTAGTCCCCTCCACCAGGAAGCCTACACAACCCACTGAACCAACCTTAGCCACTGGGGGCAGACACCAAAAACAACGGGAACTAGGAACTTGCAGCCTGTGAAAAGGACACCCCAAACACAGTAAGTTAAGCAAAATGAGAAGACAGAGAAACACAGCAGATGAAGGAGCAAGGTAAAAACCCACCAGACCTAACAAATGAAGAGGAAACAGGCAGTCCACCTGAAAAAGAATTCAGAATAATGATAGTAAAAATGATCCAAAATCTTGGAAATAGAATGGAGAAAATACAAGAAACATTTAACAAGGACCTAGAAGAACTAAAGAGCAAACAAACAGTGATGAACAATAAATGAAATTAAAAATTCTCTAGAAGGGATCAATAGCAGAATAACTGAGGCAGAAGAACAGATAAGTGACCTCGGAGATAAAATAGTGGAAATAACTACCGCAGAGCAGAATAAAGAAAATAGAATGAAAAGAATTGAGGACGGTCTCAGAGACATCTGGGACAACATTAAACACACCAACATTCAAATTATAGGGGTCCCAGAAGAAGAAGAGAAAAAGAAAGGGACTGAGAAAATATTTGAAGAGATTATAGTTGAAAACTCCCCTAATATGGGAAAGGAAATAGTTAAGTCCAGGAAGTGCAGAGAGTCCCATACAGGATAAATCCAAGGAGAAACACACCAAGACACATATTAATCAAAGTATCAAAAATTAAATACAAAGAAAAACTATTGAAAGCAGCAAGGGAAAGACAACAAATAACATACAAGGGAATCCCCATAAGGTTAGCCGCTGACCTTTCAGCAGAAACTCTGCAAGCCAGAAGGGAGTGGCAGGACATATTTAAAGTGATGAAGGGGAAAAACCTACAACCAAGATTACTCTACCCAGCAAGGATCTCATTCAGATTTGACAGAGAAATTGAAACCTTTACAAACAAGCAAAAGCTAAGAGAATTCAGCACCACCAAACCAGCTTTACAACAAATGCTAAAGGAAACTCTCTAGGCAGGAAACACAAGAGAAGGAAAACACCTACAATAACAAATCCAACACAATTAAGAAAATAGTAATAGGAACATACATATCTATAATTACCTTAAATGTAAATGGAGTAAATGCTCCAACCAAAAGACATAGAGTGGCTGAATGGATACAAAAACAAGACCCATATACATGCTGTCTACAAGAGACCAACTTCAGACCTAGGGACACATACAGACTGAAAGTGAGGGGATGGAAAATGATATTCCATGCATATGGAAATCAAAAGAAAGCTGGAGTAGCAAGTATCACATCAGACAAAATAAACTTTATAATAAAGGCTATTACAAGAGACAAAGAAGTGATCATAGTGATCAAGGGATCAATCCAAGAAGAAGATATAACAATTGTAAAAATTTATGCACCCAACATAGAAGCCCCTCAACACATAAGGCAAATACTAAAAGCCATAAAAGGGGGAATTGACAGGAACACAATCATAATAGGGGACTTTAACACCCCAGTTTCACCAATGGACAATCATCCAAAATGAAAATAAATAAGGAAACACAAGCTTTAAATGATACATTAAACAAGATGGACTTAATTGATATTTATAGGACATTCCATCCAAAAACAACAGAACACACATTCTTCTCAAGTGCTCATGGAACATTCTCCAGGATCATATCTTGGGTCACAAAGCAACCCTTGGTAAATTTAAGAAAATTGAAATCGTATCAAGTATCTTTTCTGACCACAATGCTATGAAACTAGATATCAATTACAGGAAAAGATCTGTAAAAAATACCAACACATGGAGGCTAAACAATACATTACTTAATAACCAAGAGATCACTGAAGAAATCAAAGAGGAAATCAAAAAATACGTAGGAACAAATGACAATGAAAACACGATGACCCAAAACCTATGGGATGCAGCAAAAGCAGTTCTAAGAAGGAATTTTATAGCAATACAATCCTACCTGAAGAAACAAGAAACATCTCAATTAAACAACCTAACTTTACACCTAAAGCAATTAGAGAAAGAAGAATAAAAAAAAACCAAAGTTAGCAGAAGGAAAGGAATCATAAAGATCAGATCAGAAATAAATGAAAAAAATGAAGGAAACTATAGCAAAGATCAATTAAACTAAAAGCTGGTTCTTTGAGAAGATAAAAAAAATGGATAAACCATTAGCCAGACTCATCAAGAAAAAAAGGGAGAAGACTCAAATAAATAGAAATGAAAAAGGAGAAGTAACAACTGACACTGCAGAAATACAAAGGATCATGAGAGATTACTACAAGCAACTATATGGCGATAAAATGGACAACCTGGAAGAAATGGACAAATTCTTAGAAATGCACAACTTGTGAGACTGAACCAGGAAGAAATAGAAAATATGAACAGACCATTGACAAGCACTGAAATTGAAACTGTGATTAAAAATCTTCCAACAAACAAAAGCCCAGGACAAGATGGCTTCACAGGCAAATTCTATCAAACATATAGAGAAGAGCTAACACCTATCCTCTCAAACGCTTCCAAAATATGGCAGAGAGAGGAACATACCCAAACTCATTCTACGAGGCCACCATCACCCTGATACCAAAACCAGACAAGGTGTCACAAAGAAAGAAAACTACAGGCCAATATCACTGATGAACACAGATGGAAAAATTCTCAACAAAATACTAGCAAACAGAATCCAACAGCATTTTAAAAGGATCATACACCATGATGAAGTGGGGTTTATCACAGGAATGCAAGGATTCTTCAATATATGCAAATCAGTCAACACGATACACCATATTAACAAATTGAAGGATAAAAGCCATATGATCATCTCAATAGATGCAGAGAAAGCTATCAACAAAATTCAACACCCATTTATGATAAAAACCCTCCAGAAAGTAGGCATAGAGGGAACTTACCTCAACATAATAAAGGCCATATATGACAAACCCACAGCCAACATCGTCCTCAATGGTGAAAAAGTGAAACCATTTCCACTAAGATCAGGAGCAAGACAAGGTTGCCCACTCTCACTACTATTATTCAACATAGTTTTGGAAGTTTTAGCCACAGCAATCAGAGAAGAAAAAGAAATAAAAGGAATCCAAATCAGAAAAGAGGAAGTAAAACTGTCACTGTTTGCAGATGACATGATACTATACATAGAGAATCCTAAAGGTGCTACCAGAAAACTACTAGAGCTAATCAATGAATTTAGTAAAGTAACAGTATACAAAATTAATGCACAGAAATCTCTGGCATTCCTATACACTAATGATGAAAAATCTGAAAGAGAAATTAATAAAACACTCCCATTTACCATTGCAACAAAAACAATAAAATATCTAGGAATAAACCTACCTAAGGAGACAAAAGACCTGTATGCAGAAAATTATAAGACACTGATGAAAGAAATTAAAGGTGATACAAGTAGATGGAGAGATATACCATGTGCTTGGATTGGAAGAATCAACATTGTGAAAATGACTCTACTACCCAAAGCAATCTACAGATTCAATGCAATCCCTATCAAACTACCACTGGCATTTTTCACAGAACTAGAACAAAAAATTTCACAATTTGTATGGAAACACAATAGCCAAAGCAATCTTGAGAAAGAAAAACGGAGCTGGAGGAATCAGGCTCCCTGATTTCAGACTATACTACAAAGCTACATATTGTACTGGCACAGAAACAGAGATATAAATCAATGGGACAGGATAGAAAGCCCAGAGATAAACCCACACACATATGGTCACCTTATGTTTGGTAGAGGAGGCAGTGGGTAAAAGATAGCCTCTTCAGTAAGTGGTGCTGGGAAAACTGGACAGGTACATGTAAAATAATGAAATTAGAACACTCCCTAACACCATACACAAAAATAAACTCAAAATGGATTAAAGCCCTAAATGTAGTGCCAGACACTATCAAACTCTTAGAGGAAAACATAGGCAGAACACTCTATGGCATAAATCACAGCAAGATCCTTTTTGACCCACCTCATAGAGAAATGGAAAGAAAAACAAAAATAAACAAATGGGACCTAATGAAACTTAAAAGCTTTTGCACAGCAAAGGAAATCATAAACAAGATGAAAAGACAACCCTCAGAATGGGAGAAAATATTTGCAAATGAAGCAACTAACAAAGGATTAATCTCCAAAATTTACAAGCAGCTCATGCAGCTCAATATCAAGAAAACAAACAACCCAATCCAAAAATGGGCAGAAGACCTAAATAGACATTTCTTCAAAGAAGCTATACAGATTGCCAACAAACACATGAAAGAATGCTCAACATCATTAATCATTAGAGAAATGCAAATCAAAACTACAATGAGATACCATCTCACACCGGTCAGAATGGCCATCATCAAAAAATCTGCAAACAGTAAATGCTGGAGAGGGTGTGGAGAAAGTTGGTGGGAAGTTGAGCACTGTTGGTGGGAATGTAAATTTATACAGCCACTATGGAGAAGAGTATGGAGGTTCTTTAAAAAACTAAAATTAGAGCTACCATATGACCCAGCAATCCCACTACTGGGCATATACCCTGAGAAAACTGTATTTCAAAAAGAGTCATGTACCACAATGTTCATTGCAGCTCTATTTACGATAGCCAGGTCATGGAAGCAACCTAAGTGTCCATCAACAGGTGAATGGATAAAGAAGCTGTGGCACATATATACAATGGAATATTACTCAGCCATAAAAAGAAATGAAATTGAGTTATTTGTAGTGAGGTGGATGGAACTAGAGTCTGTCATACAGAGTGAAGTAAGTCAGAAAGAGAAAAACAAATACCATATGCTAACACATATATATGGAATCTAAAAAAAAAAAAAAACTGGTTGTGAAGAACCTAGGGGCAAGATGGGAATAAAGATGCAGACCTACTAGAGAATGGACTTGATGATATGGGGAGGGGAAGGGGTAAGCTGGGACAAAGTGAGAGAGTGGCATGGACATATATACACTACCAAGTGTGTGGTGGATGGCTGGTGGGAAGCAGCCGCGTGGCACGGTGAGATCAGCTTGGTGCTTTGTGACCACGTAGAGGGGTGGGATAGGGAGGGTGGGAGGGAGGGAGACGCAAGAGGGAAGAGATACGGGGATATATGTATATGTATAACTGATTCACTTTGTTATACAGCAGAAACTAACACACCATTGTAAAGCAATTATACTCCAATAAAGATGTTAAAAATAAATAAATAAAAAAATTAAAAGCATATGGCACTAAAAAGAATCCAAATATCAGCTAAAGGGAAGATAAAAGCTCAAACACACAAAATCCAGCCTATGTAATTGAAATCATTTACAATACATGGATAAATTATTGCCCAAATAACACTCTAATAAATAAATTCTCTTTTAAGAATAAGATTTAGTGTATAGATTGAGGAAATATCATTTGAAGAATAGCATTTGACCTTTTCTTGATAGAAGATAGTCATATTTTCAAAGCACAGTGGAGAATTGAGAGTTTCTCACTGAAAATAAATAACTGTGATGGAAGAAGTGTCTGACCAAGGCTAGAAACACTTATGCTGAGTGAGAAATAGAAACACATGACTCTGTTAGGAGCTGGCTTTAAATAAGTGCCACAGAAGTACAGCGAACCTATACATCAGATATAGAAGAATGATCATTTCAATCCTCCTTAATGTGGTGTTACATCTAAAAGCTCTTTTGCGTTAGTGGGAGAGACATTTTGTATCTCAGAATAATGGATTACAAAGAACGCTCAATAACTTCAAGTATAGAGCTTCTTCACTATGATGTATGCCAATAATAACTAACTTGCTACATTTCATGTAATCTGTGTATACTTTGCCATTTATCCTCTTGACAAAAACGAAATAATATCAATAACAATTTTTGTACCTGAAAAATCCAAGTATCACCTTTCTCTCTAAACATTTTCAAATTCTGCGAAATAAATGTCATTTTTGAGTGTTTTAGCAGATATCCAGCAGTGAACATAATTCCATAATGGTTAAACATATCTTGAGTTGATGTGGTGATGGAGAAATGAGAAAGTCTCATATGTTGCTGGTAAAAAGAGTAAATTAGTAAAACCTTTCCAAAGAGCAACTGGACAACACAATCAAAACCTTGTAACATGCATGATCCCCTTTGATCCAGCAATTCTGCTTTAGGAAATTATCCTAAGGATATAATCACGAAAAGAGGCATGATGCATGAATTTAATGACAATAATAGCCAATGCAGCATTGTTTTAAAGCAGCTGACTAATTTTTAAAAACAACATTACAACACAGATAACATTACAACAAGAAGAGGATACCTCTTCTATCAACTCCTGGAGATGCTCAGTCAGGTCCAAATTCTTCCTGTAATCTGTCACAGCTTTGTCAAACTCATCCACATATTTCTGCAAATCCCTCATGGCTTCCAGAAGGACATTCACTTTATTATTTGGATAATTTAAGAAAAAAGTCTTATTCTCAACTTTTCCCATTTTCCTTTTCAAAGCCTGTGCAAAAAAAAAAATAAGGACATTCAATTTTTATTTATGAGGCTAGTTAGTGATTAAATATGGAGGGAAAAACTTTTGTAGCTTCTTCCATTTAATATGTTAAAATCATAATTATTAAAACGCATTTTGGAAAGAATAGGTTTTCTTTCAGATAGTTTATGGATTCGGCAGCAAACGTAGAGAAAATTTACTACATATCAGGATCTATACCATAGTTTGAGAATGCTACTAATGATTTTTAAAAAGACAGTGATCATAAAATCAAATATTTTATTGTCCTCAGTTAGCTCACTGTCTCCCGAGAAAGGCACTCAAATAATCTAGCCAGTATAAGTGACAAGGGGCTGCAGGAACAGGGGAGGAAGGTCCTGACATAGGTGGGTACAAGGAAAGAAAGAGGGGTATACAAGAGGGGGATGTATGTGTGTGTGTGTGTGTGTGTGTGAGAGAGAGAGAGAGAGAGAGAGAGAGTGGAAGGGGAGAGGCTGGGTAGATTTGGCAGAAATCATTTTGGAGCTGCTTCAAGAGATAAATCAATTAATTACGTATTTTACATGAAGTACCCAATTGTTATAAAAATTAAGGATGATCTTTTCAGTCCTAATGCTATAAAAAAGCCCAAGGGTTAGGCATCTAGAATTGAAATGCAAAATAATTTTGCAATAATTGCAGTAGCACGCACACACAGACGTACTTTCTCATTACCTGTAATTTTTCAGCATACATATCTACTTGTTGAATTTGATATTTGAGAGCTTTTAGATTTCGAGCTTTTTCATTTTTCTTAGTGTAATTAAACTTCAAATTGTTGAATTTCTTTTTGATGTCTTTGAATGACTCTTTGAGCTGCAGTTCAATAAAAAGAAACAGGTGATTTCCTTAATATGAGAACACTAATATTCACTTGAAATAAATCAAGATATCTACACTTCAAAATATTCATAACCTTCGAAATGTATCCAGAGTGATTTTCAGTAGAAGACAGGTCTGCTAAGTGAATATATAATGTGGATTTAAACATATCCCCCAAATATAGGTAATTATAAATGGTTCTTAGTATTTTTTGATTTGTAATTTATAATTAGGATTACAGTTACAGAACATCCTTTGACCTTCAAACAAGAAAGTTTTTAACATACGATAGATTTTAAGCAACTCTAATTTTCTTATTTGTATTTATTTATTTGACATCATTTTACAACTCATTCTGTTCTCTGTGTGCTAATATTTGTTCCATATTCCAATGCTCTTACAGCCATGATGAATAAATTTATTAAGCCTCCAAGGAGCTGTCCATGTTGCAGAGGTCAATGGAGTGTTGACATTTAGACCAAGGAGGACATTAGTGGGGTGGAAGAGGAGACCCAGTATGACAGTCAGTAGGAAAAGGACTGTATTTGTCCAAAACCAATTAAAAATTATTTTTCATGGGCAGTTTCCAGAAGAGATTTACTTCTTAGATATAAGCCATTAACTTCAGAGGTCCTTAAAAAATGGAATGTAAGGTGACAGTTGTTGCCTGTGGTGGCAATGCTAACTTGTATATAAACAGAGTGTATGGCTATACCCTGAAAACGGGGCATAGATGATGACTTTCTTAAGGACAAACAGTCCAACTTTACCAGTGAGCCAAAATTCTAAGCAGTCTAGTTCCATTAACAACAACGCTTTCTGTGCCCTTCTCCAGATTCAAGAAGGATAAACATATTGACAGGCAATTCACTCTATATTATCAACAAAGAGAAGTACAGAGAAAATATAAACCGTCTCAGAGTATATGGAAGCGTTTAACAGCCAAGAATAAACAATGTCATGGTTGATAAATTTGAGCTATGACAAGAAAAGTCAGGAAGACATTAAAATTCTTTTCAGTGACAGCAAGTAAATTATTTGGGAGGGAATAAAGGCTGGGCACATGCTGGATTTTAAACTTATAATGCAGAAAAACATATTTGCCCCAGAAAATGCTTGCTTTCTCAAAATACTTATTTTAAATTCTGCATATTGTAAAAACAGAACCGTGACCTTATCTTTAACATTTTCTGAAGACAACAATCTATAAAGCCCTAGCCTATTTGCATACATGGAAATTATTATACTGATGCAATTTTTGCATTTGCCACAACTATACTTCATCAGTGTTGTTTATTTTATATGGTAAATGAAATAGGTGAGCATTAGCTTTAAATTATAAGCACAGAGACCATGTAAAATATTTAAATTGATAAATCAGTAATATTATAAAGGAGTGGAAAGAACTGTAACTTCAAAATTTGAAAATGATTTCTCTATTAGAACTCAGAAAAATATTTAAAAGATAATATTCAGTTGGTATATTTATGAAATAAACAATATTTAAATTTTTTGACATTTGTTGTTTTAATATGCATGTATTTGTTATTAGTGGGAAAGGACAAATGAAGTTGATTTTATGGGATTAAGATACGGACTTCCTCCTTAGTTAATCACATAAAACTTTGGCAGGAACTTTTTTCCCTTGAAGTCATAATCTGCAACAATAGGTGCAATAACTACCACATCTGAGGAAACCAGAGATTTTTGTATTAAAAAGCATGTCCTCAATAGGGAGTTATTGTAATGAGTACAGAGTTTCTGTTTGGGATGGTGAAAAAGTTCTGGAAATGAATAGTGGTGATAGTAGTGCAACACTGTGAACGTACATAATATCACTTAACTGTACTCTTAAAATGGTTAAGATAGTAAATTTTGTTATGTGTCTTTTACTACAGCTAAAAATACAATTTTTATTTTTAATAAAAATAAAGTAAAATAAAATGAAAGGAAAAAATACGTCCAGTCACTAACATGTATCCACTGGAAAATAAAATTTTATATTCTTTTTTCCCCCTTACTGTCACATGACATATATTATAAACTTCAGTCTAAAGAAAGGAAGAGGGGCTCTGTCATCAACCAGATAACCACTGGGTTACACCCGCTTGTTTAAGTGGGAAAAAAATCAATATCTATTTTAAAACTATATGATAAATGAAGAAAGGCTGAGCCTTAACACTTTAATTCTAAGACATGACATTTAAAGTCTACTTTGGATTAAGAAATTTAAGACTGATAAATGATGAGTACAAATTTATTTCTGTTTGCCTCAGAATGTATGCACTTCCACTGACGATGATTTATAAAGCCAAAGATGTTCATGGCGATATGGGTATGTGAAATGGGATCAGTTTCTTTCTGACACATGAGCTCCTTTGACAAGTTGCTAGCACTTTTCTCTTTTGGTCCCACTGGAAATCTATTTTAAATCCTGTACCTTTCCCAGCTCAAATTGAGGACTACGCAGATACAAGTGGAAGGCAGCAAGCATGAACTACCTTCAGTAATCAGATTTTCAGAAAACATCCAGCCATGCCTAAGTTTCTTACCTGCACATTCCAATACGAAAACTTAACTTCCCATCTAATCTCCACATAACTTGTGATCATATTTTTAAGGGAACTGAGTGCCATGGTTGCTCGGCTGTGGTATCATTGTTCACGCAGCTGTTTCTAACTTTAGTTAGCTTGTCAACAATGGGGAATGGTGTAGATGGCCAAGACAACTGCTCAACTGGAGCACAGGAGCAGGAAAAAACACCCAAAGCTTGGGGCAAGAAAAAGTTTACCCTATTCGAAATCTTTAAATGTTGTTTTAATTCATACTGATAAAATTTCTGAAAGTCTTAAGATAATCAGGAGAAAGATATTTTTTCAAATGAACAGTGCAATTTTCCTATCTTTCCATATGTTCAGCTCCTACATGTTTGCTGTGAAAGAAGCGGACTAATTTAATACAACTATAATTAGAAAAAAAAATCATTAAGACTTTAAAACTGCAGTTCTTTTGAAACTAGCATAATGAGCATCTTCACCAAATTTCCCAGGGAGCAGTAAGCCTCTCTCAGGGTTAGGCATAAACAAAAACTTCTTAGAGAAGAAGCAGAAGGGAACAAGATGGACAACAAGGAGGCTGGCTTGCTATTTTTAGTCTTGAGGAAGCTGGCTGAGGCAACTTTGGCACAAGAATGTATTATCTGTGAGTCTGCTGCTGGCAAGGCCAATTTACGTGAGGGACATGAGACATTTTAAAACTAAGAAAATGTATTTAAAACAAGAGCTTTTCATTAGAACTATGGGGCACACAATTGTCCAGAAGCAAAAATACAAAACAAATAGTCCATTTCTCTTAATGTCCATTTCACGAGCTTAATTTCTTGCCCACCATTTTGCCTACTCCAGAGAAAAAAGCTTTCTGATTCTCATTTTCAGTAACAGAAAGAAGGCTGCAATGCTATCACTTCCCAGGGATGCCTGTATTTGAAATGAAGGGACCCAAAGACTCATAACTTAACCTGAATGATTTGCTACAATTATTAACAGTAGAATATTTAGGCTTAGTGCTGGAGAGATTTTGGGACAAGACTTTCTTGTTCTCCATCTGTTCAGCAACCACATGGATGTCTTCCTGTGCTTACCATCAGTCTTGTAGAAGCAGGAAATGGGGCCGCTTGAAAGGAGAAGACAGTTGCTCCATTTTAAATTGCAGGTGGCAGCATATCTCAGTAATAGCTATTTTATCCACTCTGCAAGTTTTGTTTGTTCATAATATATTTACATTTTATTTTCTGGACATGATAACCACGATTTTAAACTTTAGCTTTCTATCTTCTTCAGTAAGAAGAGTCATTTTGCAGATGTTAAACACAAAACTTCTAACAGACTCTAACCCTATGGGATGGACATTTTCAGAACAAATTATAATCTTTCCCATCCTCTTACATATACCAACGAAACAGACTCACAGTGGGGCCTGGTAATGAGCAGTTGTGACTGTGAAGTCCCTTGGGCTTTAAGTTGCCTAGACTCTTAGTTTCCTGAGGACTTTCCTGTTCTTATGGCCTGGCACACAGTAGTCATATTTGTTGAATGATGATAATTTAGTTTTTTTCTTAAAATGATGAATTAAGGTCATCAATTTGGAAAATAGTAATTATCTGAACTATACCATAGTGCTGCCTCATCTATACCCTCTTTTTCTGCTTCCTTTCTTACCAGATGGTGGTTGTCCACAGTCATTTTGTCAATAGCAAAGCAGTATACAATATCAGGAGGTTTAATGTTATTGGTTGTGTATTTGTCTAAGGCAGCAGCATTCCCCTATTCTACAATAATTTATTGCTGCTAATCTGCCTTATCTCCCTGGAGCTTAGATGACCGTTTTATCCAAATTGACAAAAGAACAAAAGAATCTGTATGACTAGAACAAGAGACTCTGACATATGGAATATATATATATATATATATATACATACACATACATACATATTTCTGTTTCCTTCCTGATGGGTAAGATGTGGCTACAGTGTAGAAATTTCAGGCTGAAGTAATATAGTTATATGAAAGCTCCATTTGCAAAATTTATTTTGGAAAAATGAATAGCAACCCAATTCTGTCATTACTATACTTTTTTTTTTTTTGCGGTACACGGGCCTCTCACTGTTGTGGCCTCTCCCGCTGCGGAGCACAAGCTCCGGATGCGCAGGCTCAGCGGCCATGGCTCACAGGCCCAGCTGCTCCGCGGTATGTGGGATCCCCCTGGACCGGGGCACGAACCCGTGTCCACTGCATCGGCAGGCGGACTCCCAACCACTGCGCCACCAGGGAAGCCCCATTACTATACTTTTCATCAAAGTAACTGTTCGTGATCCATAATGAGACTCGAGTGACAAATTTCCATTAACATCATGTAAATGTAAAGGTAATTTTTTTGGTCAGGTTGCAGGAAGAAAACATGCTCGATATTAACTTATTACATTTCTAAAGAAGACATGTAAAGAATAAGGAACTGATGATGTTCTGTCATGTAATATGGCAGAGAATATCTATAATGCTTTGTGCATTAAAAGCTTATTTATATTGCCAGGCAAGAGAATGTACAGTGAGATTCAACATTCATGCATACAAATATATCTTTGTGTGAAATGAGTGGGAAAAAAACTCCACAAAATCTGGCAGTCTGAAGGGTGTGTTTTCTAGTACACATGGAGAAAATGAGTTTTTACAATTAACTAACTATGGCTTATATAGTATATAAAATTAGAAAATAATAACATTTTACCCAAAGAGAATCAAGGCACAAAACCATGGTTCTTTGTCGTTAAGGAATATCACATCACATTAAAAAAAAAGAAACCACATTTAGAATACCTCACTTTATTTTACCTTGAGATACTGAGTCCTTTTCTTTTCTTTTTTTTTTCTGTTATTTTTTGCCATGCAGCTTGTGGGATCTTAGTTCCCCAGCCAGGGATTAAACCCAGGCAACAGGAGTGAAAGCCCTGAGTCCTAACCACTGGACTACCAGGGAATTCCTGAGTTCTTTTCTAAGGGCCTTTAGTGCACTTAAAACCATGCAATAAAGTAATTTTAGTTGAAATAACAAAATGAACTGTGCTATTATATCAGATCATACAAAGAGCTTGTAACGAGTATTCGAGAAAACAAAGATAGAAGAAGAAAGCATAGTAAAAGGATACATTAACATCAGACCATGCAGTGGTTGAATGGGTTCATACATTAACTGAATGGTGAACTCTGAGTTTAGCAGGTGACAAGCTGGTGCCCAGTAAAAGTTGGTCCCCAATAAATGAGCCTCTGGCCCAGAGCTGACTCCCTGAAACCCCACAGTCCTGAAGCACACTGCTCAAGTGAAAACTGTATACTCCTCAGTTTCCTCATCTGGAAAATGAAAGTCCTCCAAAGCCAATTTCAGCTCAGATCAGTGAACTTCCAAGAAGCACTTTAAATGCACTGGATGCAAAATAATACATTTCAAAATCAACTGAACAAATCAAATGCTATGCTTCGTCTAGTTCCTTGGTGGGCTATCTGACTATTTTTTTATACAAAAAAAATTAGTGTAACATGCAGCTTTTAATTTTACATAATTTTTAAGCACTCAAACCAAATACTAATAATGATAATAATAATTAAAATATCAAATATTATTACAACTTAGAATCTGGCTCTGACATTCACAATACAAACTAGACCACACATCTCTTTATTTTATTAACAGGCACTGAAAATATTCCTTTGGATTATTTTCCCATTAAGCTTGTAGTTGGAAAATCCAGGCTGTGCATGATATACTGTGACATGCCTTGTATATCTCTACGAGGAAGGAAAAGGGAAAAGGGCCAAAAGTTTTCAAAGATCCTTTGAATATGAAACTGTGACTTATATCAAACATTAGTTGGGTTTGAAGTAGAAGCAAATGGGAAGAATCACTCTCTTAATACTTAAGATCATGTTAAAGTGATGTTTGACTCCTATATCAAACCTGCAAGTATCTGGTTTCTGGTTCCTGTTACAGTACAGACAATCCTGGCATGTCCCCACTTTGACTGGAAGGGCCAGGCTGGCTCCCAGCAAAGGCTCATCACGAGGCAGCCCTGTAAACAGAACCACTGTGGAAAGGGCCTAAACAGGGAGACCCACCTCCATAAAGGCCACCATGCTTCAGGAAGAGGGAAAGTGAGCCATAGGCAGCTGGGAATAGCCCTTAGCCTGCTCTCTTGTGCTTTCAATAAAATATGGTTGAACATCACAGCAGAGAGAGAGATCTTCAGCAAAAAAAAAAAAA